AAGCCACGGCATCCAAATCTGGGGTTTCTGGGGGCTAGTAGGGTGTTTGCCTTGAACGTTGCCCATCCCAGTTCTATCTGGGGGCACCGTGCCCCGCCAGAAAGCAAATAGGAGTAAGCCCCAATTACTAACTGGGTGTGACCCAACAACAAATTAACTTATCACTCATACAGGTAGCACGAATGTTTACTACGTGATTTCTAAGTGAACTGCAAGCCCTGGAGCCGAGGGGCGGGGTGGGGGGCGGCCCTAGGATCGACCTCCAGAATTCCTCCCCTCCCGCCAATTTTTTTCTCCTCAAATCCTAGGTGGCGCCTATTTCGATCTTTAGGCTAGAGCCCTGGGCAACCTGCCTCGTCTTATGATTATATGAAGTCGTGCACCTTGGCGTCCACCTGCCAGTTACTATTATCCCTCCCACACATTAAGAGCTCTCTGGCCGGGGGTCACTGTCACGGGGGACTTTGACCGCGTTCTCAGTGATTTTTAATCACCAGGTTTGGGTGAAGACACCGTTAAAGGTCCTGCTACAGTAAGCTCCAGAAAGGGGGCGTCGCAGGGCGCTCCTTCACCCACCCGCACCCGTCGGCGCTCGGGCGGGCACGACCACGCTACGCTCCCTCCCTCCCCAGACCCGCGGGGTTCGGAATCCCTCCTCGCCGGGCCCCGCACAGCCAGCCCCTCCCCGGCTCGCGCTCGGGACACGGCGTTCGCGGGACCGTCGGGCCAGCGTCCAGGTGGCTTGACCTCCTGCGAACCCCGGACTCTGGGCTTCCAGGTTCTGACGACATCCCCCGACGTGAGCGTTTACGCGGAGCCACCGCCCGTTACCTGTCGCCCCAGCCAATCGGGAACCCGCTCGGGGACGCCCCGCCCACCACGTACACGCACGCACACCCGGGACCGGCTGGGACCGGCTCCCCACCCCCCACGGGTCGGAGCGCTGACTTCTGATTGGTCGGGGCCGGCCAGAGGCGGGACCTCAAGGAAGCCGGGTCGGGCCGAGGAGGCGGACGAGGGGGAGATCCACACAGGCCGACTGCGGCGTCCAGGGTTTGGGGTGTCTGGAGGCTGAGGTGAGACGCGCGAGGTGAGAGGAGCTAGTGCGAATGCGAGTGACCCCCACCTCGTGATACGGGAAGCGGCTGAGTAACTCTGGGCCTGACCCAGAGCGGCTTGGAGAGGGTTGGGGGGGGGGCGCGCGTCAGAGGAAGGGGGCGAGTGGGGTTCGGGGCCCGGCGTCGTGGGTCAGGGTCGCCTGGCGGCTGTGGAGTAAAAGAGTCTCTGAGGAGACGAAGCCGAAGCGAGGGGCGGCGTGAAACTTGGCCGAACGGGTGGAGCCGCCGGGGGGGGGGGGGGAGGAAACCCCGAAAAGGACGGGGAAGGGGGGGGGGGCCGAGCCCCACCTCGGGGAGCCGGGAGCCTCTCGCGCGTAGGCGGAACCTGTGAGCTTCCGGTGAGCGCGGCCCCTTCTCGCCCGGGGATGGTGGGACGAGGGCCGGGGGCGGGCCGCGGGCAGCCCAGTGCGCCAAGGTCACACCGGCCGGGAGCGAGGAAGGTTGCGCGGGGCGGGGAGGGAGCGCGAGGCCGCGCCCGTCACGGCGCTGAACTCCCCCCTTACCAAAAAAAAAAACAACAACAACAATGCGCCCGTCGGTTCGGGATGAGGAGACGCTAAATGTGGGTTTAGCGTGGGGTGCAGCGCCATCCAAGGGCCTGGCGACCCTTGCGCTTCCCCCCCACCCCGGAGGCGCGGTTGCGGGCAGAGGCGTCCGGGAGGCCTCTACGGCCCGACGGGTCTAAGGCTGGGCCCCCGCCGGACGTGCACATCGGGGTGGGGAATCCCTCGCTGGAAACCCGGGTTCTGGTTCCGTGCAGCGGGATTGCAGGGGAAGGAGGTGGTGCTGACAGCCCCCGGTCCAGGTGCCCGGCTCCGCGCCGGCTGCGGCTGCGTAGGAACCTCTGGGTGGGGCCCTGGCCGCCCTGTGTAAAGTAAACAAGCCCCGCTGGTGGATGCTGAGGCGAATATGAATCCATCCCCCCCCACCCCCCGCGTTGTTTGAGGCGGTACCAGGGGTTCCCAAGAAGAGCCTTCCGTGTCCCATCCTGGATTCGGGGCAGCTCCCTTTCCACTGTGCCTGGTCCAGCTTCCCCAGAGCGTGGTGGTGGGAGTGTCTTTAATGTGGTCTGAAACAGGTGACGAAATAATTCGTGGTTTCCACATGGGTTTTAAATACTGGGTTGTAGGTGCCTCTTTGCACGTCTTCGGCTTTCGGATGGAGAGCTGAGTCAGTTTCCCCTCCCCCCCCCCCCCCCCGCGGGTGAAAAATGAAAGATGATGAAGGGAAGGAAATCTGGGCGTTCTGCTACTGAAAAGATAGTTTTCTAGTCAAGGTCGAAATTGTTTTAGGTGAATTAAGTTACGGGGGGGGGGGGGGGAAGAGAGAAATTCGGTCATACCCCAAAATGCTCTGAATTTTTGGTATTATAAATGTGTTAATAGAAATCGATTCCCCTTACTGTCTCCCTCTTATTGGGCGGGGAGAGTCGGGATGGGGGAGTGAGGAAAGTGTCTGTAAAAGGGGAATGATAATAACACTTGGTTATGGCGCTCACGCGGTTTTGCAGGGGTGCACGCTTGTGGCACCAGGGATCCTGAATCTCGGTGCCTTGGGCTGTACCAGGGATTGAGCTGGGCCTGGTGCCTGTGCTCTGCCACTGGGCTAACTCTGGGCCATGCATGTTTTTCACAGTTCAAATAGAGATCCTGTTAATAGTTGTATTTTTTCCACGTTATAAAACAGCATCATTCAGTTTGCTGATATGGGAGTGTATTGTCGATCAAAAAAAACCTGTACTGAATCGGGAGAGCAAGGTTCCAAATATACTCATACCAGAGGTCTTCATGGTGATGGGCAATTCATGGACTCCATCAGAACCTTTCATCTGTAAAAAAGGCTCTGGGCATGGAGTAATCATCCATTCTCAACTTACATGGCTTGTAGTTACTGATAATTTTTTAATTAACCATTTTTCAATCTTGGTGACTAGATCATGATGACTGGGGAAACTTCTGGGTGGTAATTAGGAAGTTTTCAAAATCTTAAATGCAGAGATTTCCTAGAGAAACATGAGTTAGAATTTATTAGATTATATAAAAATAATTTGAGGAAACAGAGAACTAGTACAGGGTATAAGGTGATTACCTTGTTTGTGACTGACTTGGTTCACTCAGACCTCCTCTTCCTCCCCTAGTTCAATCTAGGATAAAAGTTAATTATAACTTGGGTTTTAAATATTTCTCTTTCCATACAAATTTGCATGTATAGTGTTCTGGATAAGAGATTATCATTAGTCACTGTATTAGTTTCTGTTGGGTGACCATACTCAAAGATGCCCAGGGCTTGCTTCTGGCTCTGCTGAAGTGTCACTCCAGATAGAACTTAAAAGGACCATGTGTGGTAAGATCCCAGGATTGGCTGCATGCAAGAGAAGTGCCTTTTCCTTCTGTATTTCTCCATTCAGTTCCATCACTTTATTTTCCTAGGGGCTACTTTAGGAGGTTGTGCTAGAGGAGGTAATGTAGCTCTGCTGTGTAGTTACAGAAATCAGCCTCAGGTCCTCATGCTGGGTGTGTCTAATAACTGCTTGAGCTATGTTAGTCATTTAAAGCAAATAATGACCCTATGGTTTCCCACATGCAGATTTAACCTGAGGAGTGTTACCTGAGGATTGTTGGCAGATCAGAATTTTAGTGATACAGATGTGAAATTCAGGAAAAACGTCAACTTTGCTTTAGTGAAGTGCAGTTTATTTAAATAAAAATGAGGGGAGAGAAAGTATCATGAGTAAAGAAGTGATGCACCCCAGATAGGATGCAGGCAGCTCCAGAATGGAGTGCCCCCAACTTTCTTGCTTTTAAAGATAATTTCCAAATAAATGATCTCTTAAGATTAGGAATTATGTCAAAGGAAGAAAATGTGTTTATATCTGCTAAGAACTGAGGTGTGTAATAGTTTCATTTCATGGTTACAAAGAACCAAGATTTTGGTTATAATTTCTTCCTTCATTAAGTACAATATAAGAATTTGAAAAGAAAGATAATTATGAAAGGTAGATACAGTTGACCTTTCTACAAATAAAAATAAAAATAAATGTATATATACATATATAATTGTTTTACAAAATATTTATAAACTATCTGAGGTAATTTTAATTGTTGAAAAATTGAGGTTTTGTGTATGTGTTTTTAATGTGTCCAGCAGATATTTTGTGGTATGCTTTTACATGCAAGGCGTCATGCCAGGCAGTGGAAATGCAAGCAAGGTAGTTGCAACCCCTGACTTAAAAGATTCTAGCAAGAGAGGCTGGAGAGATAGTACAGTGGTAAGTTGTGCTTGCCTTGCATAAGGGTCTCCCAGCACCTCCAGGAGTGATCCCTGAACACTGAAAAGAAGTAAAATTCTAGCATGAGAAACAAAACAGGTATTTAAAGAAAGAGAAAGTACAGGCCAATTTAGTAGACTGCATAACAAAAGCATTTAGCAAAGCCTTTCTAGAGGAGTTCAATTAAAATAAGTATAGGATGCCTTGGGCTGGCACTTGTGGGCTTACTCTTGTGTATCTTCTTGCTTTCTGATTCCCAGTATCCCATATGGTCCTTGGCGCACTGCTGAGAGTAATTCCTGAGTGCAGAGTCAGGAATTAACCCTGACATCGCCAGGAATGGCCCAAAAACAAACAGAAAAAGAGTAGGAGTTTTATGCAAAAACTTGAAAAGTATACAGAGCATCTCTAAAAGTTTTATTTGCCACCCCTGGGTGTGCTTACGGGGTTACTCCTGGTTTTATGCTCAGGAACCATATGCAGTGCAGAGGATTTAACCCAAGTCAGCCACATGCAAGGTAAATGCCTTACTCCCTGTACTACCTGTCCAGTCCCTTCTATTTTTTTTTTTTTTTTTGCTTTTTGCTTTTTGGGTCACACCTCGTGATGCACAGGGGTTACTCCTGGCTCTGCACTCAAGAATCACCCCTGGCAATGCTCAGGGGACCGTGTGGGATGCTGGGAATCGAACCCTAGTCGGCCGCGTGTAAGGTAAACACCTTACCCACAGTGCTATTGCTCCAGCCCCTCCAGCCCCTTCTTAAGAATTTTAACTGGGTTGGGTTATAGTAACTCATACGTAGAACACTTGCCTTGCCAGTGTGAGTCATGCCCTGGGTTTGAACCCTAGCCTTTTCTCATTTCCCAAAAGGGTGATTAGAATATGGGGTTGGAAGGGAGCTGAAGGAATTTGTGATAAAACAGACAGGACTTTGAGAATTTTAGTTATGATCAAGTGTAAGGTATAACTCCAAATTCCATTCTCATTGTCTTTGTTGTACAGTAACCATTATTATTTCCGTGTTTATGCTCGATTTCTTCAAATACATAGTGACTATCCTGAACCTTGAGCTTATTGAACCTTGTGTTATAAAAAGCTCAGCAAGTAGGAGTTTATTCCCTTAGAGGTAATGAAGTCTAGTTATAATAGGACATTTCCCCCATCTCACCAATATACTGTACTATTTGTCTGAATTGAGGTTTTGCTCTTTCAGGTGACAGAATTATACTTTTGCTGTAACAGGGTTGGGGTCTTGGAGGGATGACTACACTGCTCAAATGAAGCACAAAGCCTCCTCTCTATAGTTGAGTTTTATATGCGGGCTTTTGCTACTAAAACTCCTTATTAGAAAAATGTTAAAAGAGCTGTTATCTAAGGAGTAAGATACATATTTGAGAGAGAAAAACGAAGGTAAGCCTTCTTATGGGTAGTGATTTTTGGGTTTAGAGGACAGCCTGATGTCAGGTGACACCAATCCCTGGCCTAGGGGTGAGCTCCGGTGGAACAGTACAGGGGATGGGGTTCCCAGCCCACCTGGTGCGTGGCTGCTCTGAGTGGATTTCTATGGATAGTGACTTTTGAGTTACTGTAATTAAGACTAATCAGAGGCATATGTATTTACATACTGTGACTCCTTTATTTTATCTCTGAATAAAGTTAGCAGGCAGTTCAAATCAGCTCAGTGCAGTGTGTGTGTGTGTGTGTGTGTGTGTGTGTGTGTGTGTGTGTGTACACATAGTAACTATGACTAAGGTGAAAATGGATTTGTTGTGGCCTCATTGCGGTAGAATACCTGTTGATTTACTGTGTGAAGATAACTGAAAGGGGGCTGGAGCGATAGGACAGAGGATCTGGTGTTTGCCTTGCACGTGGTTGCCCCGGGTTTGGTTCCCGGACATCCCATATGGTCCTCTGAGCACCACCAGGATTGATTTTGGAATGTCGAGCCAGGCGTAACCCCTGAGCACCCTTGGGTGTGCCTCAAAAAATCAGAAAAGTAAAATAAATAAAAGATAACTGAATGGGATCTTTGGTCCCTAAGATAATGGAAATTATCTTTCTCCTCTGCCACTTTTATTCATAGAATTATCAAGCTAGTATCAATTTAGTATCAATTTTTAAATACTATTTTAAAAAATTTTATATTGCAAAAGAAGGTAGAGAATTTTAAAAGGGAATTTTAAGGGTCTAGAAGAAATGTAAAGGAAACTAGATCAGATGTTTAGAAGATATCCAAAGTCTGTTTTATGTTCAGTTGAACGTTTATTATGTTTTAAAACGTAAGCATTTTTAGCAGTGTTTCATATAAAGTCTTTATCCTCAAAAAGAGGACACAATGAGGGGTCAGGAGCATAGTTCAGCACATAAGGGTTTGCCTTGCACACTGCTGATCCCAGTTCATCCCAAATACCCCATATAGTCTCCAGAGCCTGCCAGAAGTGATCCCTGAATAGAGCCAGGTATAAGCCCTGAGCACAACTAGGTGTGGACCCAAATTAAAAAAAAAAAATTAAAAAGTACTTGTATGATTTCTGACCTGGTATTAAAGAGGCAAAAAGGAGTAGTGGTTTGATTTGAATAATTAAAATGATTAAATTTGATTAAGGATGAAAATAGCCAGAAAATTCATAGCCTATATATTTTAATGGATAAAATGGTTTCAATTAATTTTTTTCACTGTTTTAACAATGTGATGGAATTAAAAAAGGAATTGGTAGTAGGTATGAGTTCTTGGGTTCAGTTCCTGGCATCAGAAGAAAAGGAATTAAATACACAAAGGATCAATAAAGAGAACAAATATTTTGCGAGTGATTAAAATAATTGTTATATAAACATAATATACTTAGTCTTTGTGAAAATAAGGTTTAAGTACAGGCTGTCATTTAACGCTCTTAAGTCGTGAGATCCCAAACTTACTTGGTCTACCACCCTCTTTTCCATAAAACAATCACTCAGCATCTCTCTACCTTTAAGTTAACAAATGGAAAGTGACTCCTAGTTGCATCTGCAGCTACTACTGCTCTCCTCCCACCCCGCACAGTCATTCAGCACAACTGCTCACTCCCCTCCACAGTATCAGGTCCTTTGGGAAACATTGCTCTAGATAATCTCAGTTGTAGAAACTCATGGACATTTTCTTTCAGGGAGAGACTTCGGTCACAATGTCTACCAACCCGGATATTTCTATTTCTTCGTATGATGAAGGTCAGGGATCTAAACTTATTCGCAAAGCTAAAGAGGCACCGTTTGTCCCCATTGGTAAGTTCGACTTCAGTGGTCTAAAATGGAACTATTGTGAACTTTAAATCAAAAGTGGTCAGTCGTTCATCAAGCACTTCCTGAAAACATTTTTCCAGGTATTGTTATATGTTGATATTATTTCAGTGAATGTTTGGGAGACTACCAAGACCATCCTGTCTCCAGGCTTTGCTCAAAGGACTCATAGCACTCAAAAAAGCCGTTTAAAAAAAAACTCACAGTTACAGAATAATACAGTTATTATTTATTGGGTTCTTTCATTGAACCAAGTTGGACCAAGAGTTTTCTGCACTGTTTTTGGGTTTTCAGAACACTTTTAAGTCTTGGAAGGTAACGGACAGGGTTCTCCTACATGCAAAACGTGCATTCAACCCATTAAGCTCTCTAGTCTTCCTGGCACTCTTTTAAATGAATTTATATATGGAATCCACAAACCCACAATTTAAAGAAAATCTTCAGCTGGCCAAAGAGTTAGTATAGGGAGTAATTTGCCTTGTTGTGATTAACCCCAGTTAGAACCCTGACGCCACATATGGTTCCCCACATGCTGCCCAGAATAAGCCCTTGAGCACTGCTGGTGCCACCACCCCACCCCAGCTCTGCCCTCCCAATTAAAAAAAAAAGAAAGCAACTTACTATGGGGCTCTACTGTTTGCTCCCAATTATGTATTGTTCAGGGTTGAGGCAAATAAAAAACTCAGATTGTTATGTAGCACTGCCTTCCCGTTGTTCATCGATTTGCTGGAGCGATCCCAGTAACGTCTCCATTGTGAGACTTGTTACTATGTTTGGCATATTGAATTCGTCACAGGGAGCTTAACTAATGTTTTAATATTAGCATTTTTTTATAAGAACAGTGAATTAAATGATAAATCATCTTGATTACCTACCTTTGCCCATGTAATATTTGAGACTATTTGTTTTACAGGCATGGCGGGTTTTGCAGCGATTGTTGCCTATGGATTATACAAATTGAAGAATAGAGGAAGTACTAAAATGTCGGTTCATCTGATCCATATGCGTGTTGCTGCTCAAGGCTTTGTTGTTGGAGCAATGACTCTTGGTAAGTTCCTACAGGAAATTTTCACATTTGTTATTCCCAGTTAATATTTTCCTTTGCAAACAAAACAGGATAGAAACTTTTAAGTGATTTTGAGACAGTTTCAAGATCTGTTATATTCTCTATTCATGTAAAAACTGAATTAATAAAAATTCAAGTAGTGATAGTTTTACTGTCAGTGATAACTTTCTTAATAAAGTTTTAAAAAATGGAAAAGAGGACAAGGGTCAAGGGTGTACCTTGGTGTGTGAAAGAACCTAGGATCACCAGGTATAACCCTGGAGGTCCTCAAGGACTCCTGGGATGGTCTGCTGGACTGCTAGCATTGAACCATAGACCTGGGAGTGACACTCAGGCTCCCTACGAACTACTTGGGATGTACAGAAGGGGAAAAGAGGGAAGAATCTCTTCAGTGAGGTTATAACTTCATTGAAGATTCTAGATATGCAGAAATGGTTGATACTGGAGGCTGGAGCGATAGAACAGTGGGTAGGGTGTTTGCCTTGCACACGGCCAACCTGGGTTCAATTCCCAGCATCCCATATGGTCACCCGAGCACCACCAGGAGTAATTCCTGAGTGCAGAGCCAGTAGTAACCCCTGAGCATTGCTGAGTGTGACCCAAAAAGCAAAAATAAAACCTTTTAAAAATATGGTTGATACTGTGGCACAGTATGAGTTTCTTTTTGAGCTCACCCACCAGCGCCTATAGGATCATATTCAGTGCCTGTATAGACCCAAGATAACTGCATTCAAAGCAAGGGCCTTAATCCCTATACTATCTCTCAGTCCGCCCCAATTAAGTTTTTAAATATGGGACTTTGTTGACTTAATCTGGTAATATGTAGCAAAAGTAACTACTAAAATTGTGCAGCGTTGATTATCTTCCAAATATTTTGATCGCCTGAGCTAGTCATGCTAGACTTGAGGTACACTGCTAGCAATGCAAAGAATTTGGAAAATGGAAATTGTTTGAGCAGGAAAAGCATCTTAGGATCAATACTGCATGTTACCAGTGGTCTTACTCCTAGCTTTTATAAATTGTTTTCATAATATTGAAGAAAAAGGTTTAAATGATTAACAAACATTCTTTTTTTCTTTCTATTTTTTAGGTATGGGCTATTCCATGTATCAGGAATTTTGGGTAAAACGTAAACCTTAGAAGAAGAAATGCTGTTTTGGTCTTGGTGGTACTTGTTTTAGTTAGATGTCTCATATTGAGGTTATATTTTTATGGCGAAAGTAAATTATTTGAATCAGACAGTAACATGATAATTTGAATATTGGCTTCATTTCTTGCAGGCTTGATTTGCCTGTTGATAAAATTACTGGTGACAAGTTTATTCAGGGGAGTCAGGTTAACACAAAAGAAATGTCATTCAAATGCTTTTGATGGTAAATGTACATCTTCTTAAATTTTTTTGTTGAAATCAGTACTAAAGAAGACAGCAGTCTTTAAATACTCCCGGTTGCTGCAGCCTATCACATGCTTTTTATGAAATGTAGGAGTCCTACTAACCCTGGTTACGTGAACTTTTTCCGTCTTGATTTATGTACTCTTAGAATACTTCAGTATTAAGGACTGGCTGGCTCTTTAAGAACAATGCATGAAAATGTAAACATGTCTCCCCATAATTCAAAATGTGTGTATATGTTTAAACAGGCCTAAAAAACTAATAACAGAACTGTTAAATACTTATTTCAGAATCACACCTGTACTTGTTAAACATGAGAGTAACATTCTGCATTTCAGTTGAATTCTTTTATAATTGCAGAATTTTATTTTTGCTGCTGTTACTAGAATAATTTTTAAATGTCTTGAAATAAAAAAAGGTATTTTAAGAACTAAAGCAAAACTAAATATTAAGTTTTTAATATGTGCATTCTGTTTATTTTCTCTCTTGAAAACAATAATAATCATAAATGTTAAATGTGATAATCATAAATGTTAAACTACCTAAAGTAGAAATGATGATTTATGAGCAGACTGGTTTGGTCAGACATTTATGCAGATTTTGTTATACCACAGAATGTTTTACTGAACTTGTGAAATTCTTTCTAACCTGAATTTACATTCCATGGTGATACATGGTAAATGTAATATTAATAAAGTGAACATGTCCGACATCTTGCTTTTGTTTTTTAATTGGGAAAATATAAACCTCAGAATGCATAAAATTACATTTTCAAAATGGAAAAAGAACATTTTGTACCTTTGGTACAAACTGCAGTCAAAAACTATCCACCTAGCCAGCTTCTGTTGATATTTGCTGTGTCCCACACACACTGCATCCTGCCTTGTGCCACCTGTGAGCACCACAGCGACCTCTGATGAGCCATACAGTGTGCAAGCCCCCGGCTAAAGGAGTGTAATCCACTGAGAACCTGTGCAAGCACCACAACTAAAGCGTGCCTATTGAAAACAGTGCTGCAGGGGAGGGTATGGTGTTTTGTTTTGTTTTTAACCTAGCAATTTCTTAATATCTTTTATTTTTCCTTTAGTGAAACAAGATAGTATTTAAAAATAAGTATTTAAAGATACTTAGAGAAATATGTGGGAAGAGAAAGACAGGTTTTCAAGAGAGAACATGGGCTTCTTCAAAAGGGCAAAAACCAAGAATACATATCCAAGTTTCTTAAGGTACAGTCCAGGGTAGAGAATGAGTATGTTGTACTTTATTTGGTTTCAGTTTTTGTGCCATGACTCTTGATTTGTCTGACTCTGCCATTACATCTGACTCATCTGACTCTGCTCAGCCATCACGCCTGGTGATGTTCAGGGGACCGTATATAGTGCTGCAATAAAACCTGGGTTGGCCATGTGCAAGGCAACACCCTACCCTCTATACTATCACTCCAGCCTTAATACCGTATGTTTTTGAAATATTTGTATATGATTCCTCTCATACTTCTCTTTCCAATTATTCTTGAGGGCATGTCCTTTTTAATTTATAGTACCTGGCACTGGTACCTAATTCATGAGTGTTCAGTGTTATTAAGTATATCAGAGTAAGTTGGTTTGTATTTTGGATGCAGAAACATAGAAAGTTACTATTTCTAGTTTGTGAGCAACAGGGACATCTGGTGGTAAGAGCTAGAATTTGACTTTGCGCTGTTAGAATTTCCTCAGAAGTACAGTCCATTGTGACAGGGACCTCTGGTGGTTAGGGCTAGAATTTGACTTCGCACTGCTAGAATTTCCTCAGAAGTACAGTCATTCGTATCAGCCAGAATTTTCGTTTTGAGATTAGTTTTATTTTAATTTACTACTGCCTTTGTTTTGGGGCCACATCCAAAAACTTTTTTTTCATGGTTTTCATGGATCACTCGGTGGTATTTGGGGAACCGTATAGATTGTGCCAGGGACTGAACTAGGCTGTTTGCAAGACAAGTGTCTTACTCCAAATGCTATCTTCTCTCTCTGCCCCTAGACCAGACTTCCTGAACTATTTTCTCCTTCGACCCTCTTTTGCCCAATAGATGAAGCACAGGAATGTGCTACCAGATACATTTATAGTACCTGGCACTGGTACCTAATTCATGAGTGTGGATTCATGATAGTTGTTTTTTTTTTTTTCTTTGATTTTTGGGTCACACTGGCAATGCTCAGGGACTACTCCTGACTCTGCATTCAGGAATTACTCCTGTGCTGGGGGACCATATGGGATGCTGGAGATCAAACCTTGGCCGGCTGCCTGCAAGGCAAACACCCTACCCACTGTACTATTGGACTGGCTCCTGTAGTTGATTTCTAATTACTTGTTTTGTCCTTGCGTGTTCAGAGATCTTTCAGTGTTGCCAAGATTTTTACAACTGTCACGTTCAGTTATGTGATTACATATGGGTTCAAGCCTAGTGTTTGAGAAACTTAGACTAGGCTTCCTTACAGATGAGGAAATATTGCTGAAACAGTTTGAGGAACTGGAGATTTCCATCACGAATCACGACCATCCTGTTATTCGCCGATTGCCTCGAGCAGGCCCCAGTAACGTCTCCTTCATCCTAGCCCTGAGATTTTTAAGAAAGTGCTATATTCAAGGCTCTTTAGGAGAATGAGACCCATCATTGTTACTGGTATTTGGCCTATTGGGTATGCCACGGGGAGTTTGCCAGACTCTGCCGTGTGGGCAGGTTACATTCGGTAGCCTGCCAGTTTGTCCAAAGTAGGAATGAGATAATAAGATGTCATAATAAGATGTCGCGCGGCCGCAAATGTGGCCACACAGTTCCGGGAGCTGGGTTTTATAGTCTCTGAGTCTGGGCCGTTGATGGGATTACACGGCGCCAGGGGGCCAGTTGGTGGGTGTGACCCCCGCCTACTGGAATTTGGAGGATCTGGGTGGAGGATGCTCAGCCCCGATCCGAGTAGGCTTGGAGATCTCAGCCCCGGGGCCCGCATGCCTTTGTTCCTCTGCCAGTACCTTCATGTGTGCGGAGAGTGGTCTCAGCATGGTGGTGGCTGGTTCTGGAGGTCTTCAGCTGCCAGAGCCCTGGTCGGGGCGGGGAGGAAAACTCTCCCCTTGAGGAGATTTCCATGAGGAACATATAAATCTAACTCTTATCTCAATATCTAGTAGAATGAGGAAAAAAGCTGAGTTCACATGAGGAATTTTAAAAGTTACTCTGATTACCTTAGTGGAATCTGTTACACAGTATGTATAAGCTCTTAAGATGGAGTGAGGAAGCGAGAAAGGAAACCAGATATGCCCCAAGGCTGACTGGATTGCCATTTTCTCAGAGAATGGTTTACCTGATATAAGGTAGTAGAAGAACCAGTACCCCTCATGCTCCTGGCTTTTATTATTAGAGGGTATTTTCACCTTGGGCTGGAGCAGTAGTGCAGCAGGTAGGGCGCTTGCCTTGCACATGGCCAACCCGGCCTACCAGAGTTCAGTTCCTTCGCCTTCGATTTCTCTGCCCCTCTCAGAGAGCCCGGCAAGCTACAGAGAGTATCTCACCTGCAAGGCAAAGCCAGCAAGCTCCCAAGTGACATATTCGATATGCCAAACACAGTAACAAGTATCACGTTGTTACTGCGCCCACTTGAGTAAATCGATGAACAACGGGAGGACAGTGACAGTGATTTTCAGCTTTGTCACTGAAATGAGGTAAAAGAAATAATTTGTCTTCAGCATGACAGAGGTTGGACGTTTACCTCTAAGTTTCAGTAGTGATAAATGATTCTAGAGTAGAGGCCAATACCCAATCATTGGTCCCATTAAGGAACTGGGAACAGGTCCTTTCAGTTTGGTCTTTTTCTTTTTTCCCCCCCCACTGTAATTTTAATTTTTTGGCTACACCCATTTATGCTCATGGCTTAACTCCTGGCTCTGTGCAGAGGGATCCCTCCTGGTGGGATTCAGGGGACTATATGAAGTGCCGGGGATTGAATGTAAGTCAGCCGTATGCAAGGGAAGTTCCCTGCCCACTGTACTATCTCTCTGGCCCCAGAATCCTATTTTTAAATCAGCTTATCTGCTTCCATACTTAGTGTCTTTCCCACCTGTGAGCCTGCCTAGCCTACCCATTTCTCCCAGGGATGCCCTCCTCCCACTCTTGTACTTTGCTTGGGCTCCTGCTCAGTTTCAGATTCTCCAATAAATCTTCCCCTTCTGCAGTTCATCACTAGTAAACCAGTCACCAGGTCCTGACAGGCATTTATAAGCACTCTCATTGCTTGGAATTGTCCTTTTTCTCTCCCTGTCATCACTACTTCAAACCTTACATCCTTCACTTACCTTGCATGCCACTTAGCTCCCCCAGTACCACTTCGGACTGTGTGGACCAAATACCAAAGCCTTTTGCTCACCACTGCCCCAGCACTTTCATGCTCTATGCCTTTCTTAATGTTCCCCCTCCTCATAGTCAATGCAGTGCACATCTTAAAGACCCAACCCCAAATCTACTTTTGGAAAGAAAAAAATTCTAGGTTACCACAAATCTGCCATTTTTTTCCAAATCTTGCCATAGTGTAAAATTTTAGTACATGCTCTGTTGTACTTTGTACAGTGCTTTGTTGTATAGAAGGTCCTCTAAAACTTTTCCAAACTGTTCAACATATTAATTACAGAGAAGAATACTCTGCTATATATGTACACCTTCTTGCATATATACCATTGAGTTTTAAGTAAGAAGGGGGGGTGTTGAAAATAGGGGTGGAGACACACTGGGTAAAGATTTCGAGACAGGCCTCCTTTCCACTGCCACAGATCTGCTACGTTCTTTTGCATCAGTAAGTTGAGTCATTTCCATGTTATACTTTTGGGGGCAGTTTCAAAGATTTCCCTCTGTCCTGTCAGCTGTTACTTAAATAATGAGCTACTGTGGTGATGATTCTGTTGAAGTTTCATTAAACGCCTTTCTGCTTCCTCTGCTGTACCATCATAGTTCTGGTAATAAACTTGAGATGTTTCGTGATCGCCTTAGAATTAAGTCTTCTCTCAAGGACTTAGAATTAAATATTCACGCCAATACTTAGATTCGTGTTCACTGTAGGACTAGATTGGGCACTGGAGCAGTCAGAAATAGTCTCCCACCCCCATTGCTCGTGTCTGGAAGTGTTTGGGGAAGGTTGGGAAATAGTGTTCTTAACTTTTATAGAGAATGATCTTCTACTACTGCCTTCTTGTAAGACGTAATTCCTCAAAGGGAAAGGAGGTTCCAGGTGAAAAACAGCCAAAAGCAACTGATTAGGCTTCTTTCCCTTATAATGCTGATAATACAATAGACCAGTATTAATAATTTCATTAATAGAATGAATGTCTATGTTTGGATGGCTCTGGGTTTCCAGCATGAATTTCTGGTAACCTGTTTTCTGGTCTGTGAAATGGTCAAGTATTTTTATATAATAAAATATAAAATGTATCTTCTTGGGAGCCTTGTTCAAATGTTTTTTTTTTTGGGGGGGTGGCACCACATTCAATGGTGCTCAGGTGCTCTAGGCTCTGTTGTGAGGAATCACTCCTGGTAGTGCTCAGAGGACTTTATATGGTGCTGTAAATTGAACACAGGTGGATCAATCCTGAGTCAGCTGTTATGCAAGAAAAGTACCATATCCCCTGTACTTTCTCTCTGGCCCTAAAATATTTTTAAATGTGTGTCTATGGGGCCAGAGAGATGGCTGAACAGACTGACCACAGGCAAAGCATGAGAGAGGTTCAGGTTTGATCCACAGTACCAGCCAGTCTCCTGCGTATTACCAGTTGTGGTCCCAAAAATGAAATAAAATGTGAGTGCACTATCCCCTTATGGAAGAGGATTTGTACAATTTAGGCATCATCGTGCTGTATTTAAAAAACTAAACAGAAGCTCAAAAATAAAATTTAAGTGAGCAGTGTTGTATGTGAAAATAAAACTTAAATTACTTGCTTACAAAAGTTCCTTAGCTAGTTAACTGTGTTCCTAACTTTAGCAGTAAGGTAAAGTATAATTTACTCAAGGTCATACCTATCACTGAAAAATAGGAAGTAGGACTCAAATTTGGACTTTGAAACCCTTGGCTAAGTGTAAGGTAAAGGCCCTCCCGTTGATCGTCGATTTGCTCGAGCGGGCCCAGTAACGTCTCCGTTGGAGACTTTGTTGTTACTGTGTCTGGCATATCGAATACTCTCGGTAGCTTGCCGGGCTCTCCGAGAGGGGCGGAGGAATCGAACTCGGGTCGGCCATGTTGGCCGCGTGTAAGGCGAACGCCCTACCCGCTGTGCTATCGCTCCAGCCCAAGGCTAAGTGTAGAGTCTATTATGGAATGGAAGGCAGGTATAAAAAGTAATGCCTATTGAAGAAAGCCTGTTCTACCCTTTCTTCATTTCATTATATAAACACTCCCAATCTAGGTTCCAAATTCAGTCATACTAACTATAGTTACTTTATCATATATTTCATATGCAAAGTCTCTAGTCAATATTTGTTTAGGCCTTTATAAGAAGAAAGCTTAAGAGATCTTTACTTACTGACTGAAACAATAGTACAGTGAGTGGGTGTTTGCCTTGCATGCAGCTGTCCTGGGTTTGATCCCTGGCACTACATATGCTTCCTTGAAACTGCCAGGAGTAATACCTGAGCACAGGATCAGGAGTGTTGAGTACTATTGGGTGTGGGCCTCTGCAGCTTGCCAAAAAGAAAAAGGGTTCTTTACTATGGGAATGGTGAATTTAAAACTAATACACAAGTCATTGGGGACTTCATCAACAGGGCAAGAGCCAGTATCCATCACTGAGATGAGGTGACTCATCCTAGTGTTTTGAAAAACCTTGAGATGAGCCAAGAGTGAAATTGAGAAATATGAGAGAAATGGAGAGGTGGGAGGGGGCGGGGGGCACAATATAAAATATATCATCCTGTGCTGAAGGTTTGGAAAGGAATCAGGATAAAAATCATCACAGAAGTCCCTTGGAACTGAAGACTTTAATCTTGGCAGAACACTAAGTTTTTTAGTAAAATCAACATACAATGAGATCACTATATATACAAATAGGAACTATAACCAAAATGACTGTAACCAAAATGGTATGAAGCTAAAAACAAAATGTACTGAGGAAAGTCTGGAAGGGTAATGGCCAACAAAGAAAGGCCATGTCCACAGTGAGTTGGAGAAAGAACTGTTGCATTCAGAACCTTCCAGCAAGAAAGAACTTGGAACTTGTAGAAATGAGCAATAATTATTTATGTGGCCAACTCCCAATTGTGAAATGTATTAATAATGCTTAACCAAAAATATTTTAAGGCAGTTTGTCTCTGCTTTTGTGTTAGCATCTTTCTCACTGTTGCCTTAAAGACCATTTGATTCTGAGAAGAGAGGTACTATGTATATGCACCATAGTCCACTACTTCAAACTAGTAGCTTAGTCTTCTGATTTACATGTCAATCACAACTGGTGTCAGGAGACACTTGGCATATTTAACCAAATCAGATTTGGATTGCAAAATTAAGGACTGCAGGTGGAGAGTTCAGAAATGGAGCAAGCTCAGTAGAGCCTAGTTGTGTGCTACAGCAAAGCTTACTTCATTCTGAGGCAAAACCGCTAACTCTGTAATAGCACATGGCAACTGAAGAGCATGTCACTTTGCAAAAGTACTTTTCATGACCTCTTGATGATCTTGGTAGTAACACTAAGTATCTTGTTACTTTAAGAAGGGAGTTGAGATTTGTGACTCAGGTAACGTCAAAGAAGATCGGATATGGTTTTTGCCTTACTTGTGGCTGACCTAGGTTTGATTCCCATATGGTCCCTCCAGCCTGACAGGAGAGATACAAAGCCAAGAGTAAGCCCTGAGTACTGCCAGGTGTGACCTACTTAAAACCTAACAATAATAAAAGAATACGCAAGGACTTGGATGAATAGGTTATGTGGTATATGTTAATTCACGTATCTAACAATTTTGGAATGACATTTTGGGGAACAAAGCAGTTGTTACCAGGACTTAGGGAGGCAGAGGGAAGTGGGTGTGGTTATAAAAGCCCAACCAAAAGAATCCTTGTGATTACAGTATCCTGACTGGTATAAATGAAACTTACACGTGGACAAAAATATACACAAGCGTACAAAAAATAATAAATATTTTAAAAATCTGTATATTGGTAATAGTTCTTTATAAAATCTGCATAAATTAGGTAGATTGTAAAAGTGTCAATATTCTACCAGCTTTTGTTTTTGCAATTCCTGGATCTGACCCAGGACCTCATACATGTTCAACGGCTGAGCGATAGCCCGACCCTCACTGTCAGTATTCTGGTTGTATACGGTGGTCTTGCAAAATAATGGTTAGGTGCAAGTCTCTAGGATAAATGTGTTATGAGAGGGGAGGGAAAGCTATGAGCTATCTAACAATAACAAAGCCCTGAATAAATATTTGAAAGCTCCCTTAGCTCACCCCCAGATAGCCTGAACTTAATAGTGACTGTCGCCACCCTCCCAGCGCGCCCCCCAGCTTCCACAGTGCCTCCGACTGAGCCTTCTGCGCCTGCGTCACTTCCCAGCCTCCCGGTGCCCGCCCTCCCGGCCTCCGTAGCCGGGCGATGACGTCACGAAGCCGGCGTGGCCGGTTTCCCTGGTGACGGTTGCTGGGGCAGCGCGTGCGGGTGTCCAGCAGGAGTGACGGAGCCGCGGCGGCCGTAGAAGGGAGGAGCAGAGTGACCGCTGTAAGTGCGGGGAAGGGCGATAGGGCCGGCCGCTGGGGATTCCGGCCCGGAGCTGGATTGCACTCTCTGGCCGGAGCGCTGGTCCCCAGCCGGACGCCCTCTGCACGCCGGGGCCGGAGCACTCGCCTCCTCCACTCCCTCCAGCTCCGGACCTCCGCCCGCAGCGGCCCGCCTCCTCGCTCCCGGCCGGCGCCCGGCGCGCGGTGCAGGGGTTCGTTAGGCGCAACGGGGTGGGTCACCCGCCAGTCACTAAACTCGGAGTGACTCGGTTTCTTCTGAGCGACGCCCTCTTCTGGCCGCTGCTGGGAGCCCGCTCGCGCCGCGCTCGGGGTGCTGAGCGGGAACCACGCGGCCAGGCGGTATCCACCCCCCGGGACAGCCCCTTCCTCCCCGAGACCTGGAGCTATATTTCTTTTAGATTGGTTTTCAAGTTGTCAATTTCATAACAAACAAAAAAAGACAAAGCGCACCGCAAAATTAAGAGGAAAGAATAGCGTACCCCTTACTCTGCACTACACACGCTCAGCCTCGCTCCTGCCAACACCCGCAACCAGAGTGATCCGTTCATCACAACTGATGAGCCCGTGTTGCCACATCATAACTCCCCAAATCCACATTTTGCAGGAGGGCTCGGTATCGCTGTTGTGCATTATTTGCATCTGGATAAATGTATCATGAAATGGAACCCCTATCCTGGTGTCCTACTAAATATTTTTACTAACCTTGAAAATCCTGCGTGCTCCCATCTTCTCAACCCGCTCCCACCCTCGATAACCACAGACCTTTTAACTGTCACTGTGGGTTTTTCTTTTCCAGAATATCATATAACAATACAGTATGAGGCCTGAGGCAGGCAGGGCACTTGTCTTGCACGTGGCCAGCCTGAATCTGTTCCCTAGAACCCCTTATAGTCCACCGAGCCCCTTCAATTTTCATTGGAGAAAATTAACAAGTCAGGAAAAAGTGCATATTGTTGAGTGAAGAAGCAGTCTTGAAAAGGCTTCTCTCTCTCTCTCTCTCTCTCTCTCTCTCTCTCTCTCTCTCTCTCTGTCTCCATATATGATGGATAACTTTTGGGGTCATACCTGGGGATGCTCAGGACTTACTCCTGGCTTTGTGCTCAGGGATCACGCCTGTCAGGGCTCTAGGGACCTTATGGAGTGCTAGAATCAAAACCAGATCAGTGTCATGAAAGGCAACCTCCCTCCCCACTGTGCTATCTCTCCAGCCCCAGGGACCATATGTTTATGTGCTCAACTACCGTTGGGCTCTTAAGTTGTTTCCAACCTTTGACTGAGTGAATAATGCTGCGTTGAATATGAAGGTGCAGGCATCTCTTCAGATTCGTGGCTTTGTATTCCTTATATGTTGGATTGTATGGTAATTCTATTTAAAATATTTAGAGCATTTTGAGTATTTTGATGTTGCATTTAAAATAATTATTCATTGGTTTTGGGTTATGCCTGGCAATGCTCAGGGTCTAGTCCTGGTTCTGTACTTGGGGGTTTTCTTCCAGTGGTGTTGGAATGTAGTGTATGTAAGTGTTGGGGATCAAACCTGGGCCTCCCACATTCAAAGCCTGCGCTGTAACTCTTGGAGCCATCTTCCTGGTCTCAAATTTTATATTTCAGTCTCATTATTATTAAAGGTAAAGGTAAAGGCCCTCCCGGTGTTCATCGATTTGCTCGAGCGGGCCCAGTAACGTCTCCATTGGAGACTTTGTTGTTACTGTGTCTGGCATATCGAATACGTCACGGGGAGCTTGCCAGGCTCTGCCGTGTGGGCGAGATACTCTCGGTAGCTTGTCGGGCTGGAGCGATAGCACTGTGGTAGGGCATTTGCCTTGCATGCAGCCAACATGGCCGACCCAAGTTCGATCCCTCCGCTCCTTATTATTATTATTATTATTATTATTATTATTATTATTATTTAGAAGTAGATGTAAGAGGAGTAGAAGATTTATTTTTTTAATTATTTATTTTTCCTTTTTGGGTCATACCAGGCGATGCTCAGGGATTACTCCTGGCAGTGCTCAGGTAACCATATGGGATGCCAGGGATTGAATCCCGGTCAGCGTTATACAAGGCAAACACCCTACCCGCTGTACTATCACTCCAGCCCCTAGGAGTGAGTTGGTTTTGTGGTATGATTGTCCATTCTTTAGGAGATTCTGAGTTTGTTTGGTCGTACCTTTCTAATCTACAGCAATGACTTTTTCTCTCCCACTGCCAGAAGTAGCAGGTGACTGGCCTCTGATCTTCACAGGACCATCCGGTAGTGCCCCAGAAATAAAATTCACTCCCTCTTGGGAGCACTTGCCTAGGTCTAAACCACCTGCAGTTTTTAAACTCTCCAGCTAATAATGCAATCTGAGTGTCCAACAATTCATCAGTTACAGTTGCAAATGTTTTCACTGGCACTAGCTGCAAACCTCACAGGGAGGCTTCTGCTCCAGGGCATGGTTCTGTCTTCACCTGTCTCTTCAGTTATTCAGCAGCTTGTGACCTCAGATCACTGCTGGATCTAAGCTCCACTCATTTCCAGTTGTTGATTTTCTGTTTGTTCCCTTTCATTTCTTGTTATGAGGCTATGTGACACAGTTTCTAAACTCTGCAGGTTGGATATTCTTTTCAGCCTTACTGTGGCAACCCTCTGTCCTTCTGCTGATTCTGCCTACATCTAGAGCAAGTGACCGGACCTTGGTCATGCCCCAGAACACCATACATAGAAAGCATCTGTGTTAAGTGAGATTTTCTTTTAAAAAAGAGATTGTGGTTAAAGCCTGTGTTACAATGACTTTGACTCGTCTATTCACAGAGATACAGCAGCATGCTCTCAAGGATGGTTGGACCTGATTCATTCATTTGTTCCAGAAATATTTACTGCTCACCTACTGTGTGCCAAGTGCTGTACCTTATTTGTAGAAGAGCTTTAAATTAAGTGTATTTAAATGTATGCACTTACCCAAGAACTTATCTACATACTAGTGGGAGAAGGTAGATAATGCAGAATGCAGTGGGAAAAAGTGAATGTGGGAAGGGAGGGGTGCTTGTAGGATGGGAGTTGGGGAAGGGATTGGAGTATTAGAGAGAGGGACCAGGGGTTGTCTCCCTGAGAGGATGCATTTTAAGTACACATGTAGCCTAGGACAGGGAATGACTATGAATACCTAAAATATTCCAGGGAAAGGAACAGCCAATATATAAAACTGTGACTTTTAGGGGTGGGGAGATTGCTCCAAAGACAGCTCCAAGCTATGGTTTGCATGCAGGAGGCCAGGGTTCAGTGCCCAGTACCACATAGTTTTCTGAGCACTGAGCTAGGAATAACCCTGGCATTGCAGATATAGCTCCAAAACAGAACAGAAGGGCTACAAGTACTGAAGCTTCCATCATAATGAAAGATGGGTTAGGAAGTTTGGCTCGTGTTAACACACATAAGATGACTAGGGTTGATATGTTCAGCACAGTGTGTGGGATAGGGCAGATGCAGGGAAATGAGTTAGGGATTGACCTGAGTAGGACACAGCATTCCTTGGTCTAGGGTAGTGTTTCCCAAAGTGGCAACATTCCCCAAGGAGTGTTGGAATATCCAGGAGCTTTTGTTCAATGGGCTTCTTTCTCTTTGGTTAAAGTCTAGAGCCAGAGAGATAGTACAGGGCTTAAGGCTGACCCAGGTTTAATCCCCAGTGCTCCTTTGGTCTCCTGAGCATCACCATGAATGATCTCTGAGCCCAGCTGGATACAGCCCTCAAAAATTAAATTAAAAATAAAAGAAGGTAGTTTTTCGAAGAGGCTCTGAATTCTTCCCCCCTCCCCTGCCCCCAGGAAAGGGCAGTAGCCAATTAATCTAGGAATATTTGGACTAGAGGAATAAAATTAAGAAGTGGGAAGTGTTCAGGTGCTGGACATATTCTGAAGGTAGGTGAACAGAATGTGCTAATGCATTGGTGTGTGGGATGAACATTAGAGTACCACAGGGCCTTTGTACTTGCTGCTGTCTTTCTATCCCGGATGCTTTTCTTCAACTTAATTCTGCGTGTACTGCAGATGTCAGCTTACTTGTTTTGAGATACTCTCTTGGGTTTCCCAGACCATGTCAGACTCGCTGATAGTAGCCCTTAGCACTATGTGGCTCTCCTTCAGTGCATCACTATGTTTTTTGTTTGTTTGTTTGTTTGTTTGTTTTGTTTTTGAGTCAGACTCTTGCAGTACTCAGAGCTTGGTTCTGCACTCAGGGATCACTCCTGGCAGTGCTCGAGAGACCATATTATGTGGTGCTGGGAATTGAGCCTGGGTTGACCATGTGCAAAGCAAACACCATATCCACTGTACTATTGCTCTATCACCCACAATGATGTTTCTTGTTTATTATTATGTACATTTTATTTGGAGATCACATCCAGCTGTACTCAGGGATTACTGCTGACTCTATACTCGGGGATCATTTCTGGTGGTGCTTGGAAGATATATGGGATGCAGGGTATCAAACCTGGGTTGGCCATGTACAAGGCAAGCACCCTACTCACTGTACCATCCTTCCAGCCCTATCTTTATTTATGTATATGCTCATTTGAGCAAAGTCTGTCACCTCCACCACACTAAGCATTCCGTAAGGACAGAGCTCCATCTGTGGCGCTCTGTGCCAGGCCAATAAATCTTTTCCGAGGGCGTCTTTGTTTCATGAGCCAATGACCCTCAGTTGAGCACCACTGGTACTGTTGGTTCTAGGGTCAAAATTGCTCTTGTGATCTTTGTTCGTTCATTGGTGGCCCAGATGGTAATTCAGCACCTGCTGTGCACACATGCTGGAGAGTGACAGTTTCTGCCATCGGCGCATGTGGAAAGGGACAGGTTCCCATCAATTATTTGGACCCTCCAGCTGAAAGTACATTTGATTGGATGTCCATCACAGTGTCATGGAATAGTTGGGAATCAGAGAGGAGGCACCCAGGTACACTTTGAAAAAAGTCTCACTTTAACATTTATGACAACGTGGTTTGTCTTTGTTTGTTTGATTGATTGTATGACTGTAGTTTTAAGAAGCGAAAGTTTCCTTTCTGGTTCCTGGACCTCAGCATAGCCATGGAGAACCATGTTCTGGGTCAAGGATGAGCCCTATCAGGCAACTACCTGAGCTTTCTAGGAAGATGGGGAGAGTATGCTCAGGTGAACTGCTCAAAGGGTCCAGGCCGGTCCTCCCATACCCCCAACCTCATTCCTGCCCCAGGCCTCTGGCCTGGTCCTTGCCCCTGTCTTGCCTTTGCTCAGACCCATCTGTCTTCACATCTGTCTTCACATCATCCGTTCAGTGATGTCCCCTCGCCTGTCTGCTCCTAGCCGTCTCTTCTGCCCTCCTCCCCTTCCATCTTCCCACCCTGTACCCTTTCCCCACACTCCTATCTTACTGCCACACTCAGCACCTGAGGTGCTGGCCAGGCTGCTTGCAGGGCCCCAGACCCACTCAGTCCTTGGTCTGCCTGTCACATCGATGCACAAAGGTCAGGGAATCCCAGCCCGTCCAGTGCTCCTCGACCAGCCCCACCATCTCCCCAGCCATGCCAGCCCAAACTCCCCAGATACCCACCCTTCCACCCCACACCCACATCTGTGCCTTCCCTGCCCACTTGATCCCTCCCACTAAATACCAGTGTCTCCTCTCACCCTGTCCCACTGCCACAGCCTTGGCTTGGGACCATATTTCTTCCCTGAATTATTGGGCCACCTAGACCCTCGCCTCTAGCATCACAGAATGTCAGTACCGCAGGATGGAGGTCAGAAAAGACCTCTCCATTCCCCCCCAACCCAGATCCTCCCCAGCCCTCTGCCCTGCCCTCGGGCTATGCCCACCCTCTGTGCCCTACCCTCATGATTTTTTCTGCAGGTGCCCTTCTAGCAGGAAGACCCTCTGCGCCCCACAGGCTTCTTCTGGGCTCCCCAGTCCACCTCTCCGAGCACCTTTACCCCCTGATCTCAGACCTGGTGTTAAGTCTGAGTTTCAGTCACGGAGAGACCAAGTCCACACACGATAATGCAAAAGCAATGGCACTTTATTGCTAGCTCGAGCTAGGGTCCAAGTCTCATCCAACACAGTGAAGTCTTGACAAGAACCCAGACTCCAAAGCACAAGCCATTTATATAGGAAGCAAGCACTATGGCAACAGTGATCAGGCAACAGTTAAGCAATAGTTTCCAGTAACAGTAACAGGTTTATGGTTACATAAGCTCCTCATTCCTTAGGGTTAACAAAAGATAATTTCTGAGGCATTTTAACTGGGGCATAGTGATTGATTGAGCCCATTTATTTGGGCCCAGGAACTTACCAGGCTGGTTCAGGTTGGCTAGTTACAGACTGTTTCATTGCTGGGAAACTGAATCTGTTTCAGTCCCAGGAACTGAACTTGAGGTCTTTCTGATTTTACTGATTTCTGCACCTGTCATGGCATCAGTTTTGCCCTTATACTGGTTCCTCATTACACTCATGAGGGAAGCTTTGCAGAGACACGGTGCCCCATCGGCGTGCCCAAGTGCCCGGCCCAGTGAGACTGCGGGTGTCTTGCCTTCTACTGTCATCTCAGTCTGGAGAGGGCCGGTGACACCCCATCTCATATAACGAGAAAGAGACCAAGAACTGAACCAAAGGTGCAGCCGTGTGCCAGACACGAGTTCACACACTCCCTGCAGCAGCTGTGCACCCGCCTCACACACAAGGAGTTGAGGAAACGAGCAGGTGCCAGTGTGCATTCAGGGACTCTGATCCCCACCACTTCAGGCCCACATAAAGCAGTCGAGAAGGAAGAAGGCTTTACAAGTGACTCTTGTCGTTTATCTGGTCCTTTTCTCATTCATTCATCCTTTCATCCATGAACGGAGCCTACATTCATTCATTCATTCGACTATTAATGAAAACTATTCTGTTTTGATTTGGTTTTGCTGGTTTAACACCCAGCAAAGCTCAGGGGTTACTCCTGACTCCGTGCTCAGAAGGCACTCCTGGTGCACAAGGGACCATATGGGATGCCAGGGATCAAACGTGTGTGTGTGTGTGTGTGTGTGTGTGTGTGTGTGTGAGATTGTATGTGTACACACACACGTGTGGTGGGGATTTAATCACCAGTGCATGGCTGATGCCTGTGTGTCTCCCACCCCTCCTGGGGTCAGATCACAGGGCAAAGGGGAGAAGAGAGGAACCCAAAGTCTTACTTGTAAAGCCTTTTTTTTTTTTTAATCATAGGCTCTCTGGAGGGGCCCCATTACCCAGAGTGAAGAAAGACTCTTGTGTCAGGGATATTCTAACAGCTTAGAGGTTATTGCCGAGGAGGAGGCCAAGGGATGAAGCTTTCTGGGAATGTGCAGGACTCGCTAAGCTCCTCTCAGGCCAGGCTGCAGGTTTGGTCCCTGCAGGTGCCTTAGTCACCTGGGCAGCACAGGCCGCTCGGTTCCGGTCTCCACTGGGAGGGAAATGTGACTGGGTTCTCTTGGGGTGGGGCAGGCATTGGTGATTTTAGATAGTTTTGCTTGATATTGAAGCAGTTTAGCTATTTATCCAAAGCACAGATGCAACAACACTGAAAACGTGGGATCTAAGCTGCAACCACTGAACTTTGTGTAAGTGGCAGGTGGGGTGGGGTGGGGGATGGGGTGGAGGATGGAGAGAGGGGTGAAGTATGGGAGCAATAGTGGAGGGAAGTTGCGCTTGTGGTAGGATTGTTGTTGAATACATAAAACTCAACTATCAATAACTTTGTAAATCAGTTTTTATAACACGCTTGGATGAGCCTCACACATAAAGGAACCGGCAGAGGAACCCAGGTACCGGCAGAGGAACAAAGGCACGCAGGTCCCGGGGCTGAGATCTCCAAGCCTGCTCAGATCAGGGCTGAGCATCCTCCACCCAGATCCTCCATCTTTCAGTAGGCAGGGGTCAACACCCACAAACTTGCCCCCCTCCTTCCCCGCCAGTGCTGTGTAATCCCATCAACAGCCAAGACCCAGAGACTATAAAACCCAGCTCCCAGACATCTTATTATCTCATTCTTACTTTGGACAACCTGGCAGGCTACTGAATGTGACCTGCCCACATGGCAGAGTCTGGTAGACTCCCCGTGGCGTACCCAATATGCCAAATACCAGTAACAGTGATGGGTCTCATTCTCCTAACCCTGAAAGATCCTTAACTATGGCACTTTTTAAAATCTCAGGGCTAGGACGAAGGAGACGTTACTGGTGCCTGCTCGAGGCAATCAACGAACAACAGGATGATCGTGATCGTGATGTGTATTAACATATATATACATATACATATATGTGTATACACACACACATATATAACCACTGAAAGAAGCCTAGAGTGATAGTACAGTGGGTAGGGCATCTGCCTTGCACAGGTCTGCGTCAGGTTTTGTCCTTGGCACCCTATGTGGTTCCCAAGCCCCTCGAGGAGTGATCCCTGAGTGCAGAGCGAGGAGATAGCTCTGAGCACTACTAGTGTGATCAGAAAAAAAATAAATAAAAAGAAGAACCACTGTGGGGCTAGAGCAATAGCACAGCGGGTAGGGCATTTGCCTTGCATGCAGCCGACCCGGGTTCAATTCCCAGGATCCCATAGGGTCTCCTGAGCACTGCCAGGGCTACTTCCTGAGTGCAAAGCCAGGAGTAACCCCTGTGCATCGCCAGGTGTGACCCAAAAAGAAAAAAGAAGAACCGCTGAGAATAGACTAACTCTAGAACACTGCCCCACCCTCACCCCCCTCCATACATGCCCACAAAACCCAGGGTATCTGTTGGAGATAGAGTGGAAAAGCGTGGATGGAGCAGCAACAGGTGCATGGGGCAGGGGGGGAGTTCTCCCTAGAGGGTCCTGCATATGCTGGGCCTGGGGGAACCTGCAAGCATTGGGACAAAGGAGCCAGATGATATAATTGGCTAGAACTTGGTGTTATGGAGGGAAAACGGGCTGGGAAGGCAGATGGTGGCCAGATCCCCCAAAGCCTTTAATGCCTGCGGACTTGTTTTGGTGGGCTAAGAAGCATCTATAGAAGGGCGCATCAGGCAGTGCAGTGTACTCAGAGAACAAGGCCCCAGCAAGGGAGGATGGACTGTGAGCCGGGAAGGCCAGGCCAGTTGATGTTTAGAGTGGCAGCAGCTGGTGTAGGTGGGTTGGGGAACAGAACCCTGCATCAGTCATTCACCGAATAATTATTTTCTCATTCCTGCTCCAGACTGGGCCCTGTTAGGGCCTGCTACAGGGATGGGGACTGGCAGGGAAGGAGAGGGGTAAGTGGGGCAAGCGACTGACAGATGCATAATGTGTCGGATGGTGCGGAGTAATAGAGAGAAAGGTAAAATGGGAAGGAAAATGACATTTCATACAGACATGCATGCAGACCGAATCAGGGAGCCCCTGGACTGACGATGTGACCACACTTTTTGGAGTTGGGCTCAACTCAGGCTTTTTGTCCCCCCTCCCCCTTCCCTGTCCCGACCCCCCAGAATATGATGGGGACGGACGAGATGGCGCAGGACACTCTGCGGCTGCAGTTCAAGGCCATGCAGGAGATGCAGCAGAGAAGGCTACAGAAGCAGATGGAGAAGCAGAGGGACAAGGAGCTGAGCCTCAAGACCATCGTGGAGGACCAGAAGGAGCCCGTGGGGATGTCTGCCGGCCTCAGCGTTCTCCAAGCCAGGGAGCAGAGTTCACTCAGCAGCTTCCAGCAGAGGTAAAGCAACGCAGGTCTGGACTCTCCTGAGAGCATGGCCGCATGTCCGAGTTCCCCAGGCACTGGCTGACTGGTTCCCATGCTCACAGGTGACCACTGCATCCATTTCACCAGGATTGTTTCCCCTGTTCCCATCACTAAGCCACACATAAGCATGCCTGCTACCAGAAGCTCTGAACGGGTCCCTTGCTTTGTTACTGACAGTGAAAGAAATGAAGGTGTCCAGTAGCTCCCCCCTTTTTCTCTCAATTGGATGCTGCTACCCAGATACACCTTCCTTTAGGTAGGCTATCAAGGCAGGGATGTATTATTGATAGAAAATTCTCTGCCATCATCCTAGTTAAATATCACACCAGCTGGGCTGTCTCTTTGCTTGTTTCACCCAGGATCAGTTTTCTCCATCTCTGAATTCTACTTCCTACGGTTTGTCAATTTTTCAAAATGTTCTCCTAAGGGGGGAAAAAAAGGCTAATTGTGGAAAAAAAATTAAGCTTCCTCTATGGTTGAAGAAATTCACATGGTTTCTACATAATTAATCTAGGTTAACCCCAGACCTAGTTCCCAGAGATCTTTGCTCAAATCAGAGCAACTAGGATTGGTGGAAACGTGAACTTACTGATGGAATAATAACAATACCAGCAACAATAATAAGAGCGGTTAACTAGTAATTATTGTTACCTGAACTGCTGTAACTTTTCTGAGCAGCTGTACCTGGGGACTGTGTTCAGCACAGGCTCAACACAGGACTATGTGCTGAGTTCCAAGTTCCTCAGGAACTTTCCCAGGTGGGTTCAGGTTGGCTACTTGCACATTGTTTCATTGCTGTGAAACCGAGACTGTTTCAGTTCTAGGAGGCCTAGCTGATTTTGCTGGTCTGTGCTGCCTGCCATGGTATCAGTTTTGCCCTTACATTGAATAGTAAAGAGATGATGGAGCCCCCAGTCATGTGTCTTTCATGAAAAGGGCCTCGCAAGGCAACTCATCATGTACATAAGCAGTCTCCTGCTCTGGTTTCCTGATGCAGTGCATCATTTCATAAAAATACATGCTTCATGCATTATAAATTCTCTTGTTCTGATTTCCTCTTAACCTCCAAATCATTTAGGAATGTGTTTTTTGTTTGTTTTGTTTTGGTTTGGTTTGGTTTTTGGGTCACACCCGGCTGTGCTCAGGGATTATTCCTGGCTCTTCGCTCAGGAACTATTCCTGCAGTGCTCGGGGAACCATATGGGATCCCAGGGATAGAACCCAGGTCAGCCACATGCAAGGCAAATGCCCTACCCACCATACTATCTCTCTGGTCTGGAATGTCTAAATCATATGATGGATTTGAGAGCGATAGCACAGCGGTAGGGCATTCGCCTTGAGTGCATCCGGCCCGGCTGAGCCAGGTTCAATTCCTCCGCCCCTCTCAGAGAGCATGGAAAGCTACCGAGAGTATCTCACCCACACAGCAAAGCCTGGTAAAGCGTGACGTATTCGATATGCCAAACACAGTAACAAGTCTCACACTGGAGACGTTACTGGGCCCACTCAAGCAAATCGATGAACAACGAGAGGACAGTGCTACAGGGCTATAGTCACCTTTTTAGTATTGATTCCTAAGGTTAGCCAATTCCTATGTAAGTAACGTGGTTGGTATGGTGTCCACTCAGTAGAACTGACTGGGCTCAGCTCTGTGACCTCTGGTTGAGTGCATTTCGATGCATAATCCATAGGTTCTTGGAAGGAGTCTGTATTCTCAGGGGGAGTTTACATCACTGCTGGTGTAAACTTAGCAAAACATATTTCAACCCTTTCTCCTTTCCCTTGCTTATGGGCACATGTTCCTGCTGGGTCACTCTGCTTTGTTAACAGCTGCGAGTCTCCTGTTGTTGCTTTGTGCAGACCCATCTGTATTTCCCAGTACCTTGTCCAGGGCCTCAGCCCTGCCCCCTCCATTCCTGTGATTCCGCCTTGCCTTCACTTTACAGGGTGTTTGAAGACGAGATTCAACAGCTTCGCGATCAGCTCAGAGAAACAGCGGATGAGAATGGACGGCTGTATAAGCTGCTGAAGGAACGGGACTTTGAAATCAAGCACCTCAAAAAGAAAATAGAGGAGGACAGATTTGCTTTCACAGGTGGCCCCTCCGTTATTCCGGGGGTCGCTGCCCTGGGGCTAGCCCAGCTTCCATGGGGTCTGCGGGGCAGGGTGGGCATCATGCTCCAGCGTTCAGGGCCCAGGGTCAGCTGTGGCCACCTGGTTCCCGGGGGCCTGGAAATGAGGGAGTGGGGGAGGGGGAAGAGCTCCACACAGGGCAGAGAAAGAACAGGGCAGTGGGACAGCCCAGCTGGACTGTGACAGGGGCTCCTTGATGCCTGCCATGTGCTCAGTGGGCCAGCAGGGACTCTCACGACCTGGTGCTCTGCTCGACATTTGTGTTGCGCACAGTGGTGTTGCAGTCGGGGAGAGAGTCCAGGCCTTTCTGACGTCCCCGCCATAGCTGCTCCAGGGAGGTAGATGAGGCAAGGAGTCAGTTGTCCCAGGAGGCTTCTGGGGACCCCGTGTCGAGAGTGGGCCCTGGCCTTTCCGTTCTGGGATGGCCCCCTGGGACTTTTTGCTCTGCGGGTATGGGCATGACCGAAGCCCTTCACCGGTTCCTATCCTTTCAGGGACGGCCGGTGTTGCTGGGGATGTGATCGCCACAAAAATCGTGGAGCTGTCCAAGAGGAACAGGATGCTGATGGCCGAGTCCGAGGGTGCCAAGAGCAGAGTGAAGCAGCTGAACCATCGCATCCAGGAGCTGGAGCGGGAAGTGAGGGGCCTAGGGCACAACCCCCTCTGGAGGGGACCCCCGGGCCCTGGGCCCCCCTCCCAGAGAGGGAGCCATGCTTAGGTGCTCTGGGTCCTTCTGAAGGGCCCCGCGGGTCAGGGTTTGTGGCGAGTGCCTCTGTCTTTCTTGCTTCCCAAGCTGGGTTGCAGGGGCCACCCAGAGAGAGGCCCCCCATCCCCCCTCATCCCCCCAGGGTTAGAGCTGGGCCTTGGAGCCCCACTGCCCGGGTGAGTACCTCAGATCCATCCCTCACCTGCTCACGTCTTTGAGCAAATTGTACGTTTTCTGTGCCTCAGTTCCCTCTGTCCGTCCCATGGCAGTAACACGGGTATCCTCCCCAGAGACTCTTCGAGATTTGCGTCACGTCAGAGGAAAGTGAACTTTGTTCATGTTAAGGAGTGCTCAGAATAGCGCCTGGCGCTATTTGTGACTCTATTTGTCACCATTGTGACAACTGACTCCTTGCTTCATCTGCCTTCCTGGAGCAGCTCTGGCTGGGGCTCGAGAGAAGAGGCCTGCCACGGCCTGCCCCTATAGGCACGTTGTCACGTGCACTGTCTGTCTGTGGGAGAGGTGGACAGCCACCCTCGTCCTTGGGCCTTCCACTAGTGGGCCTCCCTTTCTCCCTCCTATTTTCTGCTGTTCCCCTCCCCATCTGTTCCCAGAGTCCCCCCAGCTAATCCCAGAGTCCCCCCAACTGATCCCGGAGTCCCCCTCCCGGCGGTTGGTCCTGTGGGAGCAGTTCATTGTGAGTGGGAGCGAACATGGCCTCTCCTGAAACTGCAGCCGGGGCTGAGTCTGGAAGAGGCTCAGGGCAGGCTCCGGCCACCCCACACGGGCACGTGACTTCCAAGTCGGCTGCTGTCTGGAATCTTCCTCCATCTTTGCTCAGGCTCTGAGTTGGGGCTTTATTCTGAACATGTGCTTGGAGAACCCCCCACCCCCACCCCAGGCTCCGGACCAGCCCTGGAGCAGCTTCAGTCTGGGCCTTGTCCTCAGGGCCTCTGAGAGTCGGGGTGGGCTTGGTGGGGGTGGGGGGAAGTCGGAAAGTGGGGCTGGGGCTTCCATGCAGATGGCCCAGCAGGAGCAAAGGCCCTGAGTGAGGATAAAGGTGCTGTGGCCAAAGCGGGCAAGACAGGTCAGAGACGGGGCCGGCGGTCCGTCCCGCCCTGGCAGACAGGAGGACGACCCTACCGTGAGGAACAACTGGGCAGCCAGTGGGGGTTAAGGTGGCTGTATCCAGGGGTGGGTGTGGCTCCCGGGCATTGAGCACCTGGGGCAGCGTTATCCACGGCACGGGGCTGTCCCCTCGTCCCTAACACGAAGCCCCTTGTTCCATTCCTCACCACATGCAAGGCACCTATGCCTACCCGGGCACCCAGGCCCCATCTGCAGCCCCGGGTTGGTTGCCCAGGGTCACGCCCACCTACTCCCACTAGCGTGGCTATTGTGGTCTGCCCATCCACGAAAGGTCCCTCTCACGAAGGACAACCTTCCCCCCCATCCGTAACCTGGTGCCCAGTGGCAGACCCCCGGGGCACCCCTCACCCCCTAGAATGGAAGGGTGAGACCTGGTTTGCCTTTCCAGCTGCAGATGGTTCCAGCCAAGGCGCCGGCAAAGGGTGGCAAGTCTCCGAAGGCGCAGCTGGGAGACAGGATCTTGGTATGGACTCCTTTCCGCGTGGGCCGTGTGTGGGGCGCCAGGGCGGGGGCCTCTCTCCAGGGCCCACGCCCACCTCTCTGCAGGTCCTCTCCCCCCTGGCAGCACCCTCAGAAGGAGGAAGTGGTGACTGAGGCCAGTGACTGTCCCATCAGCAAAAGAAAAAAAAATAGACAAAAAGGGCCAAACTGCAAACAAGCAAGAGAGACTGGCCTGAGGACCCCTGTTCAGTGCTCCCTGTGAGGCCGGTGCCAGTCCTGTCCTGTGAATGCTAGGTTGTGGGGCGGGGTGGGCTCGGAGGGGCTCAGCCCTTGCAGGGGCTCTTCAGGCCTGTCCTGGCTCCAGGGAACACTGCCAAGCTGCTCCAGAGTCACTCCGACTGTGGAGTCCCCCGTGGCCCTGACGCATGCTGCCCTGGGTGGGCAGGCAGCCACTTATGCAGACCCCCAAAGATGTGCTGATCCCTTTGACCAGAGATCCAAAGACAGGGCCCCATCCCCGGGGGCGCCGGGCTGGGGTGTCTTCCTGCGGGGAGCCCTCCAGGTCCCTGTTGGCTAGCATGTGGCCTAGAGCCCATGGAGGGGGAGCTGGGAGCTGGTCAGTGAGACTCATAGGCAGCCTCTGAGGGACCAGAGGACACTGGGCTGGGTCCCAGCTCATCAGGATCGTCCGTTCCCAGGGAACTTTGGACCCCAGGGAGCACCAAAGCACGCCTCCCTCATGGCCAACTGTGGGCACCCACCTGTGTCTGCTCAGGCCCCACACACCAGGGCACACCCCGGGGAGCGGCCCAGTGCCCCCCACAGGGGCCTCAGAGGCCTGGCATGAGCTTGCTTCTTCTCATCGTTCCTCACAGGAAAAAACAGCTCACCCCAGCATCCCACAAAGCCGGTGGTATTTCACCCGGGGGAGAAACAGCTCCGGAATGGGGCTGGCTGAGGAGCAGGGAATGGGGGACAGGAGGTGGGGGACATCTGCCAGGCGGGGAGGGCAGGGGCCGGGCCCTCAGTCAGCCTGGTGCCTATGGGGGCTCTTGCCAGCAGGGCCTCTGTCAGACCGCACCCCAAGACAGCACCCCGAATCTGCATTAACTCGGGGGGCTGGTGGGGCATACCCCGCTTCACAGGCGAACACTCGACCAGAGCTGGATGATGTGGTTCCAGTCTGTGGTCTCCTGCTCACGCTCCGAGCAGGTCTCATCTTCCACGGAGACTCCCACTGGGCGGGGCAGGGGGGGGCAGGGGTCTCACAGAGCCGAGGAGATGAGGGCCGAGAGGCGGGACTGCAGCAGCAGAGAAGGGTGGAAAGGCAGGTCTGTGCTCCCCTCTGCTCCCGCTCTGCTGTGGTGCCCACACTTGGATTTTGCGCCCTGGTGGTGATGACCAGACACAGGACAGACTCTGAGGCCGGGGCTGTGGGACCAGGGTCCAGCTCAGTCTTCTCTACCCAGGGGTTTCCACTGCGGTGCCTCTGCACCCACAGAACACCCCACACCCTGCTGTTGGGGTTTTTGTTTTTGTTTTGGGGTCCCACTCAGAGGTGCTCAGGGCTTGCTCCTGGCTCTGCCATCCTTCCTGTCGGGGCTCAGGGGACCACATGAAATAGCAGGGATCGAACCTAGATCGGCTGCGTACAAGGCAAACACCCTACCCACCATACTGTCTCTCCCCCCCTCACCTCCCCTCTGTGTTTGTGCCTCACTCTTGTTCCCAGAAGCTCTTGCCTTGCCCACTAAGGGGCCAGCAGGGACCCCCTACACACACACACACACACACACACACACACACACACACACACACACACACACTCTCTCTCCCCAGAGCCCAGCCCCTGGCCTCACCAGCAGCAGGGGTGCGATGTGGGGTGGGGGCCAGGGTCGTGGACCCCCTAAGAGCCCTACGCCTGAGGGCGAAGTCCTTCCCTCCCTGATCTTCCTGGCATTTCCCATTCCCATTCCTGGATGGTTCCAGCCACCTGCGAATCCCTCTCTCTCACACCCTCCCATGAATCTCAGGAACAAAATCTACTGAAGACGCAGAAACAAAACTGACCCCAAACAGCCCAGCGTCCCAGCAGGCAGCGTTTTTCAGGTTCCTCAAGTGACCAGGAATGGAAAGGCACCCTTGCTTCAGCCTGGGGGGGCCCCGGGAGGGAGCCCAGCTGCGGCATGCGGGGCAAGGGCCTAGTGGTGGTGGTGGGGGGGAACCTTCTCCCCGGGGGTGGGCAGGCCCCCCCCTGCGTGGGCCCTGTCCCACCTGTCCTCTTCCCCGTCAGCCCGAGGCCCCCGTGATCAAGGTCCTGCAGGACAGGCTGGCAGCGGCCAACCTGAAGATGAGTGAACTCCGCAACCAGGTGCAGTCTGTGAAGCAGGAGCTCCGCATGGCGCAGAAGGTGGTGCAGAGACGGGACTGGAGGGTGGACGGGCGGGCAGGGGCCAGGGCTGGGAGCAGCCAGTAGGGTGGGGAGGGGCCGAGGGGGAAATGGGGGTGTGCCAGAGCCAGTCTCCAGCCTGCAGCACACCCCCATTTGGGGAGCCAGTGAGGCAGCCCACCCGCCAGGGTCCCCTGACCTCTGTACCCTTTGGCCCAGCCTCGGGCAGCAGAGGACAGCACTGTCCCTCGGGAGAGTCCCCTCGGCTTTCCTGCACAGTGAGCACCCCGTGCCACATCCAAGGTCTCTGCTCTGAAAGCCGCCTCTCCTCCTAGGGCCTGACTGCCCCCCCCTCTCCGCACCCCTACTGCCCAGGACACTGGCACAGAGTCTGGAGTCTGGGAGATTAAAGACCCTTTCAAAGCGAAAAACTCTCAACTGGGACACAGTGCCCGCGGGGTGCTTATTTATTTTTATTTACATAGAGGATTCTCTGGCATTTGTCTTTCCCTGCTGGAACCACACAGACCAGCCAAAAGATTTCCCAAACAGTGCTCTATTGTGGAGACCAGCCCTGGAGCCCAGCACGGAGCTCGGGTTTCCGTGACAGGCTGCCCAGGGCCCAAGGTGGAGCCTCCAGGAAGACCTGCGTGTGGCCCTCCCACGGCCACAGAGCCGGACCCTTCCAGAACCAGCCTGCCCCTGTCCACACTTAGGACCCTCCCCTGGCTGTGCTCCCAAGAGGGCCTTTCCCCAGAGGACAGCTGCCCTGAGCAGTGCCCTTCCCCAGGCCAACCAGGAAGCAGCTGCGGTCAGCTTGGCCACCCTGCACATTTCCGAGGGTGTCAAGCCCTGCCCTGGGGGCATTGTCAGCTCTCCCTGGGCTGCTGGAAGCATCTCTGGGAAATGCCAGGATGCTGGGTTGGGGGGCTTTCCCCATCAGCCAGCCACCCTGACAGAGGGCCCTGCCCGGCTCTTTTCAGGTTCTGGTCAGCGAGGTTGGGGAGGATGTAAATGTCCAGCAGCTCCTGTCCTCGCCAGGCACCTGGAGGGGCCGGGCACAGCAGATCCTGGTTCTGCAGAGCAAGGTGAGCGCTCGCCAGACCCCTGTGCCTGACAGAGCAAAGCTGAAGATGACCCTCTTCGGGGACACAGCCCCCAGGGAACCCCCAGAGGCCTTTAAAAGGCCTTGAGGTACTGCACTACACACTGTTGCTTTGTTATCTCCCCAAACAAGCCTGGTTTTCATTTGTGCTTTAACGGACGAGCTTTTATGTAACGCTTCCCAGGCGCCAGGCCCTGGCTCGAGTCCAGTGCCAAGGCTTTGCTTCACTCCAGGCACGTAACCCTGATGCCCCGAGCTTGGCCCTGGCGTCCCTGGAGGCACTTCATAGTTTGGTCCAGATGCTTCACGTCTTTGAATCACCCACTAAAGCCTTGTCTCTCTCTTTCTTCATATTTTGGGGCCACAACCAGGGTTTCAGGGACTTGAGGACTGAGGCAGAGGCAAGTGTAATCAGTCCCACTTTACAGGTGAGGGAAGAGTCTGAAGCAGTTCCAGCACCCGTGTCTGCCACCACGGAGGCCCCACACAAACTCTTGACTTGCCCAGGTCACATACTGGCCAGGAATCACAATTTGGAGGAGTCTTTTTTTCTCCTTCATGCTCGGCTTCAAGAAAGCAGCAGAAGAGAACAAGTGCTCGGTTGGTCCCCTGAGCACTGCCAGGAGTATTTCCTGAGTGCAGAGTCAGGAATAACCCAGAGCTCAGAACACTGTCTAGGACTGGGGAATCAAACCTGAGCCTCCCTCCGTCCCTCGTGCTTTGTATGCCCATTAAGCCATCTCTCTGGCCCTCGTCTCCCTCGTTATGTTCTAAGCATTTCAGAGCATCCCTAGAAACGGAGAGTCACGCTGCCTGGCTGCAAGCTCCAGCCTTCCTCCGGGGCCTCCAGTTTCCTCATCAGCTTGCAGGCTGATGACAAGACCTGCCCTGCACGGTTGTTGGGAGACCCCAGGAGTAAAACGCCTGTAGAGTGCCTGGCGTGGCAGAAACACCTGTATGAAGGCTGACTCTAGTGGGTTTCTCTGTTGGCCTTCAAGCCAAGAAAGGGGTGAGTGGGTCCGTGCCACCCTCCCACCCCCCCACAGTTGGCCAAGCATACCTGCGTCCTTCCTCTTCAGAGACTTGACGTCAGGGGTCCTGAGTGGGTGTTTTTTTGTTTGTTTGTTGGATTTTGGACTATGTACCATGCAGCAGTGCTGAGGGGTTGTTCCTGACTCTGTACTCGGGAAATACTCTTTGCAGTGCTCAGGGACCAACTGAGCACTTGTTCTCTTCCCCTGCTGGGTTCTTGAAGCCAGCGCAAAGGCAAAAAGCCTCCCCCAAATTGTGACTCCTGGCCAGCGTGTGACCTGGGCAGGTAAAGAGTTTGTGGGAGGCCTCCATGGTGGCAGACATGGGCACTGGGACTGCTTCAAACTCCTCATGTAAAGTGGGACTGATTATACCTGCCATATCGGGTGGCTGAGGGATGAATTCAAATAACATTTGTAAAGCACGCAGCACAGTGTCTGGCCACAGGAAACCCTCAACATAGCAATAACCATGGTTATTGTTGTTGACTTATATAAATGATAAAAAGTGGGGCCAGGGAGACCGTTCCAAAGGCTGGGATGTATACTTTGCCCATATTTGGTGTTCAGCACTGCACGGTTCCCCTGAGCCTTGCCAGGAGTGACCCCTGAGCTCTGAACCGGAGCTAGCCCCTGGGGCTGGCACCCGGAAGAAACAAAAGATGAAAAAGTAACCCTGTGTTGTTTCAGGCTGAAGGGGGCCTTCCACATAGTGGCCACATGAGGGCGCTGGTGCTTGCTGCCTTTAGCTAGCCTTCTGCCCTCTGCTAGAGAGCCCAGTGAAATCAGCCCCCAGCTCCTGCTATTCACCTTGTCTGCTCCGCAGTGTGGGTTAGGACTGTAGGGGTTAAAGTACAGGGGGTCAGGCTCATGCCTCATGGCTTGATTCCCAGCACCGCGTGGTCCCTGGAGCGCAGCATCAAGTGTGGTCCTGAGACTCCCAGAAGTTGTAACCACAGTCTCCTGACAGCTGCACGGGAGGCCCCCTTCAAAAAATAATGTCACTGTTACTGTCACTGTCCTCCCATTGTTCAGCGATTTTCTCGAGCGGGCCCAGTAACGTCTCCATCATGAGACTTTGTTGTTACTGTCTTTGGCATATCGAATACATCACGGGGAGCTTGCCAGGCTCTGCCGTGCGGGCGAGATACTCTCGGTAGCTTGCCGGGCTCTCCGAGAGGGGCGGAGGAATCGAACTCAGGTCGGCCATGTTGGCTGCGTGCAAGGCAAACGCCCTACCCGCTGTGCTATCACTCCAGCCTCCAAAAATAATATATATATTTTTAATTTTATTAAAGCACAGTGATTTATAAAGTTACTGGTTGTTGAGTTTTAGTCATGGAATATTGCAGCACCGAATCCACCAGCAGTGTCTGTTCCCCCCACCAAGGTGCCCAGGTTCCCTCCCAAACCAAGTCCCTCCAGCCTGCCCCCATGACAGGCACCTCTCAAGTTTGCTTGTTAGGGTTTGACCTCTTGATTTCAGTGCGGTTTGGATATTCGATTCTATCATTCCTTAGCACCACCTTGTGCCTGACTCCCCTCCCCTAACCAGTGCTTCCCATCTGTCTCTCTTCCCTCTCCCCTCCACTCTTTCTTTCCTTCTGCTCCCTAGACTCTGGGGCCAAGGTTGAACAAGGCGTTCCCCCCCCCCCCCACCTCCTGAAACCTTTGCATTTCCTCATCCAGTTTTTCTCAATAACGCCTACATGTGATATCAACCTGTGTTTATCCTGCTTCTGACTTACTTCATTTACATGATGCTTCCCAGTTCCATTCATGTTTTCGTGAATTGCATGGTTTCATCCTTCCTTACAGCTGTGTAGTATTCCATTGTGTGTATATACCACATCTTCACGATCCACTGATCTGTTGTTGGATATCTGGGTTGATTCTAACTCTTTTTTGTTTTTCTTTTTGGGTCACACCTGGCATTGCACAGGGGTTACTCCTGGTTCATGCACTCAGGAATTACTCCTGGTGGTTCTTGGGGGACCATATGGGATGCTGGGAACCGAACCGAGGTCAGCTGCTTGGTAGGCAAACACCCTACCCACTGTGCTATTGCTCCAGTCCCTGGTTCCAAATCTTAGCTGTTGTACTGAATGGTGAAATGAAGAGCGGTGTGCATACGTTCTTTTGAATGAGTGTTCTTCTGTCCTGGGGATAGATGCCCAGAGTGGAATTTCTGGGTCATGCACTGTAGCACTGTCCTCCCGTTGTTCATCGATTTGCTCCAGCGGGCCCAGTAACTTCTCCATCGTGAGACTTGTTGTAACTGCATTTGGCATATTGAATACGTCATGGGTAGCTCGCCAGGCTTTGCCGTGTGGACAAGATACTCTCAGTAGCTTGCCGGGCTCTCCGAGAGGGGTGGAGGAATCTAACCCAGCTTGGCCAGGCCGACTGCGCACAAGACAAACACCCTACCGCTGTGCTATCGCTGGGTCATAGGGGAGCTCAATTCTAAGTTCACTGAGTATCCTCACTCAGCCTGTTTTCCATAGAGGTTGGACTCGACAACATTCTCACCCGCAGTAGATGCAGGTTCCTTAAAAAAAAAAAAAAGATTTTTTTTAAAAGTTAACAAGCAGGTTGCCAATAAAGCTGTCGCTCTGAGGAGTGGCGCCAGGGCCTTTGCTGTGGAACCCACGGGTGCTGGCTCCAGGCTGAAGCTTCCCAGGGCCACCTCAGGACCCTTCTGGTTGCCTGGTCCTAAAAACCACCTGTGCCTGGTCCTAAATAGCACCTGTGGAGCAGCGTGTCTAGTATGCACAGACCCTGAGGTCATTCCTCCCTGTGGCCCCCACAAGTGCCACCAAGCATAGCCCAGCTGTTCCCCAGCAGCCCCAACACGCACCCAACCACCCTTCCCTGGGCTGAGCTCTTCCAGGAGTGGCTCATCCCCTGCATGCCTGCACAGCTCAGGAATCACATGGCCCCAATCTTAAATAATAATAGCACTGTAGCACTGTTCTCCCGTTGTTCATCAATTTGCCTGAGTGGGCACCAGTAACATCTCACAACAAATTGTGAGACTTCTTGTTACTGTTTTTGGCATATTGAATACATCACGGGTAGCTTGTCAGACTTTGCCATGCAGGCAAGATACTCTTGGTAGCTGGCCGGGCTCTCCGAGAGGGGCAAAGAAATCAAACCCGGGTCAGTCATGTTGGCCGCGTACAAGGCAAACGCCTTACCTACTGTGCTATCAATCCAGCCCAAATAATAATAATAATAATAATAATAAATTAAAATAGAGGCTGGAGACATGGAGCAGGGAGTACGGCCTTACCTTGCATGCAGCCAATCTCGGTTCAATTTCCTGCATTGCATAAGGTCCCCCAGACTCTTCCAGGAATGATCCCTGAGCACTGAACTAGAAGTAAGCTCTGAGAATGGCCAGGTATGGCTCCAAAACAAAACAAAACAAAACAAAAAATGGGGGGCAGAGAGATAGTGCAGCAGGTAGGGCACTTGCCTTGCATTTGGCCACCCAAATTTGATCCCTGGCACCCCTGCTGGCAACACTAGGAGTGATTCCTGAGTGCAGAGCCAGGAGTTAGCCCTGAGCATCACCAGGTGTTGCCTGAAAACTAAAATAAATAGATAAAATAAAAGACTGATGCCAGAACCCTTCTGGGCATGTTGGACTAAAGTCACTCCAAGCTGCGTGGGGTGGAGGGGATGCCCCTCGCTCAGACGGGCTCCGATACCGAGTCCCCCGATTCCGGCCCGTCACCCTCAACCATTCACAAAAGCAGCGTCCCTGTCGGAAGGTCCGTGGTGTGCACGGTGGCACAGCAGCGAGGCTGTGGCTGACCCTGCTACCAGCCCCGCCGGCCTCTGCAGAGCCCCACCCCTGCTCAGGGGGTGTCTGTCCAGCTGCTGCTCTGCCCACACCTACCATCCTTTCCCTCCCCAGAACCAAGGGCTGCGCCCCGAGTCCCCTCCGAGACTAGGGGCTCCCTGGGCTCCAAGCTGACCCTTGCCTCTGTCCTCCCAGTGCCTCCGGGCCACCTCAGACCCCTCCCGACTCCGGTCCCCTCCCCATATGAAATAAAAGACTGATCCCAGAACCCAGGAACAGGGTCCAGCTGAGTTGGCCACGCAGGTGGGTCTTCAGGGCTTTCCCTCCTGGAACTGATCCTTGCATCCCCACCCTAGGTCCGAGAGCTGGAGAAGCAGCTGGGACAGACCCGGGGCCGGTCCGCGGGGACAGACAGTGAGGTGCTGTCGCTCTACCCCGACACCCGGAAGCTGTCGGCGCAGGAGAAAAACCTGCTGCGGATCCGAGCACTGGAGAAGGAGAAACAGGAAGGCTGGGAGGTAGGGCCTGCAGGGGGAGGTCAGCGGGGCCGGAGACCCCTGACAGGCAGGCAGGACGCACCTGTGCGCCTCACATCCTGTCTCCAGGACTGGCGCTGGGCCGCAGGACCCTCCCCGGGAGGGACTTTGGACGGCCCCTCACTGACCGCACGGAGACTCTGGGCCTGGAAGTGACCTTGTGGAAGGAGGCGCTGCAGGGCACCCACGGCCCGGGGAAGTGAGGGGCTGGCGGCTGGCTGAATGTCTGTGCATGTAGGGAGCCAGATTCGCAGAGGACAAGTGTGCCGGCTCCGGGCAGTGCTTCCTAAACCCTTCCACTCTCGACCCCCCCCCTTTTTTTTACTTTTTTTTTTCTCAGAGGGAGGCAGGGGTGGTATTTGGGCTGCACCCGGCGATGCTCAGAGCTTACTCCTGACTCTGTGCTCAGACATCACTCTTGGCAGTGCTCAGGGGAGCATACGTGACATCACTCTTGGCAGTGCTCAGGGGAGCGTGCGTGATGCCAGAGATTGAAGCTGGGCCAGGAGCCTGCCATGCAAGCGTCCTCCTCACTGCACTGTCACTCCAGCCCCGTTCTCCTGCCCCCGCCCACCCAAGAAACGCAGCCCGGTCTGGGCCAGCCCAGAGCACCCCGGTCTCACACTGCGGCTGATGCTGAGTGTGTCTCCGGCCCTGACACATTCACAGCGCCTGCACGGTGGCCAGTCTCCTCACCACCCCGTAGGCCATGGCATGATGTCCCGTGGTGGGGCGGTGACCCGCAGGACAAGAAGTTTTGGTTTCGGGGCACACTAGCTTCAGGCGCAGTGCAGCGCCTAGGGGGCAGTGGGGCGGGTGGGGGTGGGGAGCTTGGTCTCGGTGCTCCTTTTCCCAGGCTGAGTTTGAGCTCTCTGTCTCATGCAAGCAGCCCCTCCCCCAACAAAGACCCTCCCAGTTCCAGCCCATATCTGAGTGTTCCCCCTACCTGGAGCAGAGCTGGTGGTGGCTGAGGTGCAGGATGCCTGAGACGCCTCCCCTAGGTCTAGAGATCAGTCGGCCATCCCAGCAGGTGGAGGTGCCCCCCTCAGCACCCAGCCCTGCTTCCTGCACCCAGACCCTGGGCTGCAAAGTAGCCGACCCCGAGCGAGGAGGGCCCGGCCTCGGACACATTCTCACTTCCCTGCACATCTCCATGAGGGGGCCGGGGAGGGGGGAAGGCTGGAGGCAGGGGGCATTGTGGGAGAGGGGCGCAGGGTGCTGGAGGCAGAGAAACCCCCGGAGGTTTTCCTTTGTGAAGGGTCAGCCTCATCAGGCCCGGGGTCACAGCTGGGGGGGAAGCAGATGCCAGTTCCCCAGGGTAGCGTGTGTGACCACTGCCCTGCACCAAGACTATCAGGCCCGGGCAGAAGGGCCGGAGGCGGCCGAGGAGAGGGAGAGGAGGAAAAGTCACGCAGGACTTGCCAGAGAGGGCTCCTTCCCTGCGGTGTCTCTCCTGGCTTCCAGGATGCTGGGCGTCACAGCGGGCGCTCGGGAAACGGGCAAGGAATGGAGGCAGACACGGCCAAGGGAGGCGGGGAGATGCGCGTGTTGGGGTGAAGCCCCCCCTTCTCCCAGACCCCCCAGCCCAGTCAGGGTGAGCCCCGCCACCCCCAGCCCTGTGCGTTTCTTCTCTCTTCCCTGGCTCAGGGCAGGGGGTGGGGTGGCGGGTAGCTGTCCTCTCGTGAGGACACCCCAGGCTGGCCAGGCCCTTTCTCCTGCTCAGTGCCACCACAGTCGGGGTTGTGCGAGCTCAGGAGGGGCCTTTTCTCTGTGAGGGCCTCACCCCTCATGGGTGCTCAGTGTCCATCTGGATCTCTCTTCCTTGGCACGTGGGGCAGCCCTGGGATACCCCTCACACACACCCCCACCCTCCACTGTGCTACTGCGCTTTCTGTTGGCAGAAACTGGCCGGGGAGCGGGACGCCCTCCAGAGAGAGCTGGAGGAGACGAGGAGGAAGCTCGAGGCCGTGAAGTCCCGCAACAAGGTGCTGGCCGGAGAGGTGAAGACGCTCAAGAGTCAGATGGGGACCCTGGCGGAGAAGGGCAGGCACGACGACGAGCTCATCGACGCCCTCATGGTATGGTCGGGCGAGGACAGGGGCCCCTCCACCCACCCAGCCACCCAACCACTGAGCCACCACGAATCCTCCCAGATTCTCCGGGCCTCCCCAGTGAGGAGGCCCAGAACTGGGGGCCCAGAACCCCACTCCAAGGCCCGGAGCCAGGCCGAAGGCTCCCCGGGGCACACCGGGGCCAGTTGAGGCCCCTCAGGTTGCTGGGCCTGGGGACCCCCCAAAGGGGAAAGAAGTAGATGAGGGGGAGAGAGCTGGGAGTGCCCCGAATTATTTTTCATTAAGTGCCAGTGCTGGCCTGTGACGGCTGGAGCAGTAGCACAGCGAGTAGAGCGTTTGCCTTGCATGAGGCCAGTCCGGCTGAGCCAGGTTCAATTCCTCTGCCACTCTCGGAGAGCCCAGCAAGCTACCAAGAGTATCTCGCCCACACGACAAAGCCTGGCAAGCTTTGTGGACCCCCAGAGACTCCTCTGGGATATCTCTGGGGGGAAGGGGAGAGGCTTTAGCAGGGTGCTGAAGAACCCCTCGCCCAGCTGAGCAGTGTTTCGTTCCACCCGAATGCCTCCACACCGCCATCCCCTGAGCCCAGTCTCAGGGAGAAGGGACTGAGGACAGGGAAAGAGTGTGGTCACTTAAGTGGGACCCCCAGCCCTGTGCGCCCCCCCTTCCCCAGGCAGGCAGACGGTGCTGCTCCTGCTGCTTCTCCAGGGATGGCCTGGTAGGGTCCTCCCTGACCTTGCCCCGCCGCCCTGGGCCCACGGCTGACCCTCGCCCTCCCACTCGCCTCCCCACCCCCAACTCGCCCCCCAGGACCAGCTGAAGCAGCTGCAGGAGATCCTGGGCAGCCTGAGCCTGCAGGAGGAGAAGTCACGCGCGTCCCAGCAGCGCCTAGACCAGCAGCTCAACAGCGAGGCCCAGCGCAGCAGCAGCCTGGTGGCCCAGCTGCAGGCCATGGTGGCCGAGCGGGAGGCCAAGGTGCGGCAGCTGGAGCTGGAGATCGGGCAGCTCAGCACGCAGGTGAGCGCGGCGCCCCCTAGTGGTGGCCAGAGATCTCAGCGGCTGCTCCCCACCTGCCTCTGCTCAGGGCTGCGCCACTTCCTCCCAGGCTCCCCTTCCGGCTCCTTCCTAGGCCCCTCCTCTACCCAGATCCTTTCCGCTCCCTTCAGGCACACACACCCGATGGCCTGCATCTGCTCTGCCGGAAACCTGTCCTTGGCTCCTCATTTCCCACAGTCTCGCTCCTGGCCTCAAGGGCTCCGGGCCAACCACCTCTTCCTCTCACACCCCCATAGGACACCTTGAGCCTCATGGCCCAACGTGGTGGCCACTGCACCCGCCTTCACACTCACAGTCGGTTGCCAGAGAGCAGAAGGAAAGCCGCACTCCCTCATCTCTCTGCAGAGCCCCTCCCTGCCCCCCACGCTGGGCTCCGGGGAGGTACTTGTTCCTCACACAGGGGTCAAGGGAGTGGGGGCATCTAGGGAGATGGGATCCCTGACCATCAGTCAGTGACAGGGCTCCCCAAGAGCTGCCCCCAAGCCCTCCCCGCCCACCCAGGCTGGTGCTGCTGGTTTGCCCAGCTCCCACAACCCCCAGATGTGCAACAGTATATGAGAGTGTCACCTTGCCATCTCCCACCCTGTGTTCTGGCCTGTGCTCACTGTGGAGTGTAGAGGGGCTGTCCGGAACATTCCACCATCCGTGACTGGCCACTGGCCAGGCTCCCAGCACATAACAGGGTCGATGCTGCATGTGGCTCAGGCACCTGCCAGGCATGCTTCAGGCTCTGGGTTCAGTCCCCGGCTCGGCTGCAACCCCACACGCTGAGCGCAACCCTGGAGATGCTACCACACGTACATAACGCCCAGCACGTGACCCCATCACTGCCACCATGATGACAGCGAAGGAAGGGGGATGAGGAAACAGGACGCATCCTGCTGTGGTCCAGACGCGACCAGCTGGTGCGGCACGAGCGTCAGTGTTCTCTCAGAAAGGGCAGGCGAGGGGACACATCACGTTGTTTCCCTTTTGGAGGCCACACCCAGCAGTGCTTAGGGCTTGCTCCTGGCTCTCCGCTCAGAAACTATTCCTGGCAGTGCCGGGGGACCGTAAGGAATGCCAGGGATCGAACCTGGGCTGACCGCATGCAAGGCAAAGGCCCTCCCCGCTGTGCTATGGCTCTAGCCCCAGGACACGTCATGTTGTTTGAACTCACACTGACCTTCCAGCCCCTGATGTGGCCTGATTGCCTCAAATGTGTGTGTGTGTATGTGTGTTGTATGTGTGAGTGTGTGTGAGTCTGTGTGTATATGTGTCTGAGTGTGTGTGTGGTGTGAGTGTGTGTATTTATCTGTGAGTGTGTGTGTTAGTGTTTGAGTGTGTGTATGTGAGTATCTATGGTGTGTGTGTATGTGAGAGTGAGAGTGTGTATGTCTGTGAGTGTGTATGAGTGTATGTGACTATGAGTGTAAATGAATGTATGTGTGTGAGTGTATGTGGGTGTGGGTGTGGTGTCTGTGAGTGTATCTTGTGTGAGTGTGTGTGAGTATGTATATCTGTGTGTGAATGTGTATGTGAGTGTGTGTGTAGTATGGTGTGAGTGTGAGAGTGTGTGTGTCTAAGTGTGTGGGTGTGGTGCATGTGAGTGTGTGTGTGTCTGTGTGTGTGGTGTGTATGTGAGAGTGTGTGTGAATGTGTTTGTGACTGTGTATGTGAGTGTGGTATGTATGTGTGTGTGCCTTGAGTGAGTGTGAGTGTATGTGTGTATATGTGAGTGAGTGTGAGTATATGAGAGTGTGTATGTGAGTGTGTATGAGTGTATGTGTGTGTGAATGTGGTATATGTGTGTCTTGAGTGTGTATATGTGAGTGAGTGTGAGTGTGGTGTGGTGTGTGTGTGTGTGTGTGTGTGTGTGTGTGTGTAGGGGTGTTCATCTTCTCATGCTCCTCCATCAGCTGGGCCTCAGCTGCCCTGGAAGAAGTAAGGGGAGGCCTGGGCCCGGGGAAGCCTGGCTGAGCTCCGGCGGCTGGGAGGTCCCAGGGTCTCGGCTGACAGGCAGCTGCCGGGAGTCACACCTGTCACAGGGCAGCCTGCAGAGGGGCCCTCGAGGCCTCAGCCTCTGATCTTGCCATGTCAAAGGCCGTCAGCTTCCCTTGGGGACCTGCATCCAGCAGCTGCCTGGCCAGGCCCGTCCTGGCGCTGAGCGGCTCCTCTGAAGAGAGGCATTATTGGACGTCGTTGTCATGCAAGGGATGTCTTCAGCAAACAGCCCCGCTTTCATTCCTGAAAAGAAGCCTCTTTCACAGCCCCCGACAGTCCCGAAACCAAGCCAAGCTCCCCCGCCCCGCCCCCGCTTTCTCTGAGCCAAAGCCCTAAGAATCGAACCCGTGTCTGTTCCCTGCAGTATCTGCGGAATAAAGGAATGGGGGAGGGGCCAGGTGGGCCCGAGGCCAACCCTGTCTACCCGAAGGGCGTGGAGGACCCCAGTTCGAACAAGCCCCCTGCCTCAGCGGGTGACCACGCCAGCCGACTGGGATTCTCTCGGTAAGGGAAGGCGGGCCGCAGGGGCTGGGCTCGAATATTAATTATCCAGAAGAGAGGCTCCTTCCTGCGCCTCTGACAGGAAGCCAGTGCTGCTGGGACTGGTCCTACCAGGACGCGGCCCTGCCTGTCCCCTTTTGCAGCCACAGGAAGGAGCCTCAGGCCCCGGGTGCGGGCCTGAGTTCAGGCCCCAGGTTCTCCAAGCCTGCTGGCTGCACACCTGCTTCTCAGAGCCCCGGGTGGGTGGTCACAGACTCCCAAGTTTCCTGGATTAGAGCAAGGAAGAGTTCCGGGAAGACAGGCAGCGTGTCTCCCAGGCTGCCCAGACAGGACCGCCGTGAGGGTCAGGCATGGGCCGGCCCCCAGGCTCTCCAGAACCCTGCCCATCCCCTCCCAGTCAGGCACACATAGAGGTGAGGCCCCCAGGGACCCCGCTTGCTTCCTGCGCTGATGCGCCCCCTTCTGCCTCCGCACAGCTCCGTGACCAGCCTGGGCCACATGCTGGTGGAATCTTCTCTCACGTGGCCTTCCCTGCCCAGTCCTCACAGGGCCTCGCCCAGGTACGGACCCAGGACCCTGAGCCCCGCAGTCCTCCCTGTCTGGGACCGCTCAGCTCTCCCATTGGAAAAAAAAAAGGAGGGGAAACTGAGGTCAGGCCAAGTCAGTGTCTCATCTCAGGTCACCTGAGGACATGGAGGTGCCTGAGCCGTAGCCTCCGAGCCTTGACCTGTAGTCCAGGGCCCCTTCTTGCTCCCTCAGAGCCAATAGGGAAACTTACAGGGCCTGGATCCCGGCCCCTTCCCTGACGCCTCCTGCCCCCCAGAACTGTCTCCAGGGGGAGATGTGCGTCAGCGGGGTCCCCACCTTAAGTCACTGATAGCCCCTCAGCTCTCTGCCCGCTCTGGGTTGATAGAATCAGGCCTGAGGGCTCTAATGTGTCCTTTGTCCTTCCTGCCAGCCGCAGACAAAGGCTGACTTTGTCCTGCCTCCAGCTCTGCCCCTGTCGCCCCCCCCCCCCAACCCTGGGCCTGCTGCCCACTCCTGGGCAGGACAGTTGTGGCTGAGTCTCACTTGCTGTGTGGCGCTGGGCACAAGGGCCACCACTTGCTGCATCTCCAGGAAGGAGCCCTGCCTGTGGCCACTGTGGCCCCGGGGCCAGCCGCCAGGCCAGCCCTGCCACCTGGGCTTTCAGCACATGCAGGGATGGGAGTGGACCCATGGGGACCACCGGGCAACGTGCCCCACGTCTCCCACCCATGGTGGGCACAGACAAGGCCTCAGGACGGGAGCAGGACAGTGGACCAGAGCCCGCTCAGGGTCGCTGCAGGGTGTCAGGGGCCAGCAGATCCACACATAAATAACCACTCAGCCCCTTGGAGCTGACCCTTCCCATCAGTGACAGGGAGTGTGTTCGTCAGTCCAGGTGGGGTGACTGCTGGGGGTCCAGTGGGCAGGGCACCGGAAGGCCCTGGACCCTGTCCCCCCCGCCCGCCCTGGGGATAGTTGAGGTGCTAGACAGGGCTTCCTGGGCACAGCGCTGACAGGGTTCTGGCCCAGTGGGGCAGGCTCCGGACAGCCCCTGAGGTAAGGCCCAAGCTGCCAAGAACTCACAAGCCTCTTGGGGAGGAGAGTGTTCCCAGAGCCCCTCAAACAAGCCCTTCATTTCTCAGACAGAGAACGGGGGTCCAGGGAGAGGAAGAAGCCCGCCTCCAGACCACAGAGTGGGTCAGACCCTTGCCCTGAGGGCCCTCCTTGCACCTTCCCGCGGGTCCTGCAAGCTCGAAGAGGCCACCTCAGGTCTCTCCAGGGAAGGGCAGGACAGGGCACCGGGGCCTGCGGATGGGGCGGAGCCCAGCTCTGTGGTGCCCAGCCAGCAGGTCAGGGACCCGGGGACAGGTGTGGTGGGAAGGAGGGACGCAGTGGTGACGGCTGTCAGAGCCACCGGTGGCCCATGAGTCTCACGGCCAGGCCAGGCTGGGAGAAGTAAGGGGACTGGCAGGCTGGCGGGAAGGCCTAGGCACCCCCAGCCCCCAAGAGCCACCGTCCCTAGCAGTGCACGTGAGTCCAGATCCTGCAGGGGCTGGCTGGACCCGGGTGCTTGTGGGCATCTCACCTCGTGGCGACAGGCGAGGTGAGGGCTAGAGGCAGGTGCCGAGTAAGTGTCCTGCAAGTCCCTCCTGCCACCCGAAAGGTAAGTGCAGGCCAGCAGGTAACCCCTCCCAATGACCTCTGCCCCCCACCCTGGCCCCCAGGTTCTCCGACTCCCCTGAACAGAAAGGCTGGCAGGCACAGGTGACAGAGTTCAAGGCCCTCTGGCAGGCCACCGAGGTGGAGCGCGACCGGCTCACCGAGTTTGTCTCTGTCCTACAGAAACGGTAACATGTGGCGTCCAGGGACGCGTCCTGATGGGCCGAGCGGGCCGGGGGGCCTCTGGCAGGCCGGGGCTGCTGCCCCGGATGCAGCCCCCACAGTGTCCACCCAAAGTGGATGTAACCCGCTCATAACCCAGGGTGTACCCCAACCTCCGTGCACCCGAGGGGACTGTCAGGGGCAGGTGGACACAGGCGGGGCCCTTGGGGCAGGGGGAGGGGGCAGACTCTGACTCTCCCTGTGCTCGGCCTCCTGGTGGGAGGGGGGCGGGGGGTTGGAGGGTGGCAGTCACGAGTCCAGCAGAGCAGAGGGGGCCTAGGCTGGGGACCAGGCGGGAAGGTTCTCTCCATTCCACAGGCTTGTTGGCAGCTTCCTGTTCCGATAAATCAGTGCTCCTCTTTCCAGTGACCCTTTTGGCAAGAGCTGTCGGGGGCCCGGGCCAAACACATGGCCTGGCCATGTGACCGCCTTGCTGAGAACTATAAAGGCAGCCGCTGAGTTTCTGCCGTATCACATGTCAGCCCTGGCGCTTTGATGGGCGGCAGGAGGGGCCCGTTCTGGCTGAGTGCAGCAGAGGGCAGGCCCGGGGAAGGCACTGGCAAGAGAGCATCCAGGAGAGCTTAGGGGTTGCCCCGGCCAGAACCCCAGAACAGTCGTTTCCCCCCTCCCCCATCCCAAACCCCTGCACAACACAGTCCCCGTGAGTTTAGGGACAGGCTTAGAGACACATCCACCCCCCCTCCCCCCCACATACACCCAAGCCTCCAGATGCCCCCAGCAGGGAGCAAAGGCAGGAGGCCAAAGTGGGGAGCTTCCCAAGGAGGGGGGTGTTGGCAGAGGCTGGAGAGGCCCGCCTTCATCCTCCCCTCACGCAGGCACCTCAGGGAGGGTGTGGGTTCAGACCCACTCTGTGTGAAAAACCGTGAGGGAGGGGCCGGAGCAATAGCACAGTGGGTAGGGCATTTGCCTTGCATGCGGCCGACCCAGGTTTGATCCCTGGCTTCCCATATGGTCCCAAGCACCGCCAGGAGTAATTCCTGAGTCTTGCAGAGCCAGGAGTGACCCCTGTGCATTGCCAGGTGTGGCCCAAAAAGCAAAAAACAAAACAAAACAAAAATAGCCACGAGGGAGGTAGAGCGAGCAGAAGAGACACACACCTCAGGCTTTCTCTCCCGGTGGCCCCCAGACACCCCCCCCCTCCACCACCACCATCACCAAGTGGCCCTTTCTCCCTCACCATGCTGTGACTGACCAGGGTAGTTCTGCCCCACGCCACAGCCACCGAGAACCCCAGTTCCCCATAACCCCCCTCTCTGTGGGGTCTCCATTCTCCCAGTGTCTGTCGGTGCAGGGCCAGGACAGTAACCAGGCTGGAAGGGCAGCCAAGGGTGCAAAATCCAGGCACTCCCTCTCAGAGGCTGCATGTAACACACTCGGAGGGTGTCCTTGCCCGCTTGGGGTCCTCAGACTCATCCTGCTGCTCTGTCACGTGGAGGATGTGAGGAGCATTTAGAGTCTGCCTCAGGCCCGTGAGCCATGACGTCTCTGCGTCTCTGCCCAGGTTCTCAGGTCCTCACGCCCATTTGGATTTCTCAACACCCCCCCCCCCCGGGGCACAGAGCCTCCTGTCCCACAGATGCTCTATATCTGCTTCTTGCTTTTTTTGTTTGTTTATTTTAATGGAGCATCTGCACAAACCCCCCTCTCCCGGGAGGGTCTTTCTCTGTACTTCCAGCCACCACCCCCAGTCTTGTGTTCTTATCCTACTGAGACTCTGGGGATTGGCATCGACACCCCCTTGCTGCTTTCAGAGAGAGGGTCTCAGGCCGAAACCACGGCGGAGCTGGAGAGAGCTATTTGCCTATGCTCAGTCTCATATCCACCTCTCAGCGTCTGCCACCTTGTCCAGTGTCCAGTGTCTGAAGCAGTGCAGTTCTACATATCCCACCCCAACCCCATTTCCCCTCCCCCCCTTTTTTGGTCTTTGGGCCACATCTGGCAGTGCTCAGGGCTTACTCCAGCCCCTACGCTCAGGGATCACCCCTGGCAGGTTCAGGGACCCATATGAGTTGATAGATATCGAATCAGAATAGGCTGTATGCAAAGCAAGTACCCCACTGCTCTATTATCGTTCCAGCCTCTTTCACCCATTTAGTTTTCTCTGAATCAAGTCCTGGATTTGATCACTGGCACTCCCCTCCTAAATCCCTCCAAAAATCAGAAGTCATGAAATATGTCTCTTTTAAAAAAAAATCCCCCCCCACACACTTTATTTAAACACCATGGCTTACAAAGTTGTTCATGATGCTTTGTTTCAGGCATTCAGTATTCTAACATCAATCCCACCACCATTGTCACCTTCCCTCCACCGTCGTCTCCATTTTCCCATCCCCACTTCAAGTCTACCCCTCTAGCAGGCCCACAATAATTTATTTTATATTGATTGTTGCCATTAAGTGACTAATGGGATGATCAAATAAATGTTTCCATAGAAGAAGATTGTGAAAATTGTTGTATCTCACAGTCCTTGTCTGAGGGTTTTTTAAGCTGTTGTTGCAAGTTCACCCTTCTGAGTTAACTTTTTTTGTTAGTCAAGATTGGTTGGTTACTACCTTATATCCCATCCATCTACAACTGGGCTGTCAGTGTTGTCGATATTGGAGATGTTGTGTGGCTGTGAATGTGGCCGCGTGTTCCAGAAAATTCAGAACTCTTAACTGAGCAGTCTGACAACTGGAGTTAAATTTTTAACTGGGTGGCGGCTTTGGGGTGTGGAGCTGCTTTGGTGGGAACTGGCCCCCCTCCCTCTGAGAGCACCCCAGAGGTCCCAGCCAGAAACAGGTGTCTGAGAAATTTTTGTGACTAGGTGATCTCCTTTGAGATGTATTTATGAGTCTCTGGAACAAGACTGACAGATGAGTTTGGATGTTGGTGGCAGTGGGACATGGGCATAAGCTTCTACTGGGGCTTCTGGAAGTATGGGAGGTGGGAGGAGGTCACCCACCCAACTCTGAACTTACTTTCAATATGTCCCTTTTTTTTCTTTTTGGGTCACACCCAGCAATGTACATGGGGTTACTCCTGGCTCATGCACTCAGGAATTACTCCTGGCGGTGCTCAGGGGTCCATATGGGGAGCTGGGATTTGAACCCGGGTCAGCCATGTGCAAAGCAAATGCCTTCCCCGCTGTGCTATTGCTCCAGCCCCATGTCTTTTTTTTTTAAAGCATACAGTTGTCTTTGCTTGTAAATTCAATCTGAGAAGTTGTGTTTAAACAGTAAAATTTCATTTATATTTGGATAATATCTGATAATAGAGATGACCAAAAGGTCATCTCAGTCAATACTTGCCCTGGTTCTCCTTTGCTCTATTTTCTCATCTCCCTTCTTAAAATTGAGTGATGGTGCTTTAGTTCCTTGTTTACTGCATAAGTTAGGAAGTATAGAAGTGATAAATTCTATTTCAGTTCTTTTAGTAGCTACCTTTCAGTAATTGTTTGGTGCCAGACATGGAATACAGGGCCTTATGTCAGCATGTGATCAACCCTTAACTTTCAACATAAAACTCATCAAGTTCAGGGGCCAGAGAGATATTACAGTGAGCAGAGTACCTGCCTTGCACGTGGCCAATGTGGTTCAGTCCTTAGTACCATACATGGTCCCCTGGGTACCACGCGGAGTGATTCCTGAGTACAGTCAGGAGTAAGCCCAGAGCACCTCCAGGTGTGCCCCCCCCCACAAAAAATCAACTATAAAGTCAATGAACAGTTTTTTGCAGGGGGTGTGGAAGATTTGGGACCACACCCATCAGTGTTACTGGCTACTCCCAGCTCTGTGCTGGGTGACTCATGTAGGTGCTTGATAGAACATACAGGACTGATCCAGGGTCAGCCCATGCAAAGCAAGTGCCTTCATCCTTATATCTCTTCAGCCCAGTCTAGAGTGTTTGAACTGTATTCGCTACCTGCACCTTTTGCATTTCTGTCTTCTAATATTGTTCTTCTTTCACATACTTTCTTTGTTATTATTTTTGTTTTTCATCTGGGGACCATACCCAATGGTGCTCAGGGCTTACTCCTGGCTTAAGCTCAGGGATCACTCCTAATGGTACTCCTGGGAGCATCTGTGATGCTAAGGACTGATACGTATGATCACTGTCACTGTCACTGTCCTCCCGTTTTCATCGATTTGCTCGAGCAGGCCCAGTAACGTCTCCATTTTGAGACTTGTTGTTACTGTGTTTGGCATATTGAATACGTCAAGGGTAGCTTGCCAGGCTTTGCCATGCGGGCAAGATACTCTCAGTAGCTTGCCAAACTCTCCAAGAAGGGCAGAGGAATTGAACCTGGCTCGGCCGGGCCAGCCACGTGCAAGGCAATCGCCCTAACGCTGTGCTATCGCTCCAGCGTATGATAGAATATGATAGAGTATAAAAATAAATAAATCAATAGCTGATGCCTAAGCTAGAGGGGAAGCCATACATGATGCTGGGGATAGAACTTGGGTCAACTGTATGCCTAGCAAGTGCCCTACCCACCATACTATCTCTCTGGCCCCTTTACATATTTTCCCCCCACATACATTTTAAAAAGTCCTCCAAAGCTAATCTTCTAAGTTCATCTTTAAAAAATCAATACATAATAGTCATTTATTTTTATCCCTGTGTTTTCAAATCTCTTCCTTCTCTGTGGCCTCCTGCACCTCCTCCTCTGGACCCAGTGTCCTTCCTGAAACAGACCCTTTCGTTCAGTGAGAACAGGAAGCAGGAGCACCTCTGCCTTTGCTTAGTTTCCAATGTCTTGCTCAAACCTTTCCCTCCGGTGAGAGCTCAGTGGACACAGACTGCTGGAGAGATGGGCATTTGTCTCTGCGTTGGAGGCTCCACTGGTGCCTTCTCTTCTCGCAGTAACTGTTGCTCAGAAATAATTCTGTTAGCCAAACTGTTGGCTTCGTGGACATGGTCCCTCTCCCTGTTTGCTCTTTTTAGTTTCTGTATTCAGTATTTT